ATGATTCAAACATTATATTAATATTTATTTTTATTTGCAAAAATCTTCATTTTTTTTATTACTATTGTAAATTATAGAATGCTTTAACTTTTTATAAAAAGTAATACTAAATAATTAATATTAAATATATAAGTATGAGATAGACAGAAATTGAATAGGTCAAGAAATTTTAATTTTTTAATTAAGAAAACATTCAAGATCAAAGAGCGAAGTATTCAAATATCTATTAATTTTAGTGGTGACCCAACAGCACCAACCTTAAATGATATTGGAATATCTGATGGATGTGGAATTGGAACCAAATTATTCCTATCATCTTAATCCAAGAATCTAATTTATGTCTATGAAGCCAATTCCATCCAAGGATTCTTTTAACCTCATAATGATTCATTCAGAGTTATGAAATGTACTAAAGAAAGTAGAGATGTAAATTATTTATAAATTCATTTTATATAGGGAAAACTAGTAACATTTGGTATTGATAGTGAAAACAATTAAAAGAGTAGCTTTGTGAAATTTTGGGATCCCAATACAACTGACTATCAAAATATGAGTAAATTAATTTCAATAAAATCATATAGAACCTATAAAAGTTATCTTGGTAAATAAAGTTGGTTAACCCTTATAAAATTTTAATTGCTTTTGTATAGCTAAAGACTTAAGTGCTATGGCATTTGGTTTGTAAGATGGTTAAATATTGATATTTAAAGCAAAATCTTAAAATCTAATGACAATGGATTTCAAAGATTAAGTAATTCAAACAGATTAAGAACCAATCAAATCTGTACATTTAAGTAGACATGATTAAAATTTGAATTTATTTTGTACTACTGACTCTAACATCATTTGTTTTTAGAATATGCAAAATAGAAAGAAATTTTCAATTCCAGCAGGAGCCCTATTTGATTTGACAGCTAAAGGAACTTTAATAGGATGTCCAAAGGATGACACTTCTACTATAGTTGAATATAGTGATACTAAGAAGGAAGCTAGTTGGAATGTAGATGGTGATAAAATAGAAATTAGATTTTTCAAATAAAATTACTTAATTATGTTGATTTCACCAAGATAAGATAAAGAATAAGTAGATTAATCTGTTTAATTAACTATCTTTGATCTTCTAAATAATTATATTGCATATTATAAGAAATTTGAAAAGATTTAAAGATTTATTCCAGTTGGTGATTATCTCTATGTTATTACTCAAAATAATAGAGGTGAGAAAAACTTAATTAGATTAACAGAAAAAGAAAATACTCATAAAATTGAGATCTTTTTTAAAAATAATTATTTTGATGTAATGTATAGATTTGCTAGTAATTAATCATCTGATAAAACTCTATTAGCCGAAATAAGTCGATTACATGGTGATCATTTATATGATTAACATGATTTTTAAGGTGCAATCAAATAATATATCAATACAGCAGGTATTCTAGAACCTTCATATGTAATTGGAAAGTTTTTAGATGTTTCACATGTTGACTTTTTGATTTAATATTTAGCAGCATTGCATCATGAAAAATAAGCAGACAAAAATCATACAGCTTTATTATTGAATTGTTATGTAAAATAGAAATAGATTACTAAACTTGAAGAATTTCTTAAAGAATCTAGTTTTGATTCAGATTTATTTGATATTGATACAGCTATTAAAGAATGCAGATAATTAGGTCATATAGATTTGGCTCTTAGATTAGCAAAATCTAGATAAAAAAATGAAGCTTATCTCAGTATACTCATAGAAACAAACAAAGATTAGAATAATAAAGAATAGAATAGATAAGATTGTAAGAGTGCTTTGATGTATATAAAAGATGAAATCTAATTAGATGAAAAAGTATATATTATTACAAATAAATTAGGCTTAATATTTAAAAGAGTTTGGACAATAATTAATGAAGGCTGAGCCAGAATTATGTCTTGAAATAATTCAAAATTTAGTTTTGCTTATTAGTATGGTTTAAAATTTGAAGAAAAGAGTAGACACTTAAAAAGGAATTGAATCAATTAGTATTTTGACTCCTGAAGAATTGAAAGTTTGGAGATATTTTAATTTATAAGATGAGGAGATTAAAAAAGTATTTTCTATAACATTTGGTAAACCAGATGAATTTTTACATTTATTTGTTGTTAATGATGAATATTTAGAAAGTTATTTGAAATTCTTAATTGAAAATTGTAAAACATTACCAAATGAAAAAGCAATATTCCATAGATACTTTGAATATCATTTAGAAAAATATTAATTATATTATAAAGATGAAAGTAAAATTGGAATAAGAGATACATAATTATAAAGCAAAGAATAAGGTATTATGAAATTATTGGAAAACTAAGAAAATGAAAAGAAATATGATAAAAATCATTTATTAGTATTGTTCAAAATGTATAATTTTGTTCCAGGTATTATTTTCTTATTGAAAAAATTACAAATGAGAGAGGAATTATTGAATTTCTATATTAGTTTGAGAGAGAATGATTAAATTATTAATTTATGTAGTGAATATGGTAGAGAAGAAACAAATCTTTGGATATAAGCATTGAAATATTTTGCTAAACCAGAAAATGGTGCAGAAAATTATATTGAAAAAGTTTTAGTTTTAGTAAGTAGTTTAGAAAATCTTTCACCTTTACTTATATTAAATATCTTGTCCAAAAATAGAAATGTTAATTTCAAATTAGTCAAGAATTATTTCACTAATAAAATATCAAAAGATAAAAAATAAATTGATGATTGTCAAAAAGTTGTTAAAGAAAAAATGAAAAAAGCAGCAGAATTGAGAGCAGAATACAAAAAATTAAAAACATAAGCTAAAGTATTCTAATCAACTAAATGTAATTGTTGTGATGCCATTTTGAGTTTACCTTCTTATCATTTCCTATGTGGTCATTCTTATCATGAACATTGCATTCATACGTATAATAATATTTATAAAATATTAATAGTGAAAGAGCTTGTCTTCTATGTCCTTAAGACTCATAGATGTTTTTCAAAAGAAAATAAGAATTTATAGAAGCATCAAAGGAAACTAAACCATTCAAAGAAAAACTATATGCAGCTGCTGATAAATTTGATGTTATATGTGAGTATTTAGGATAAGGCATAATTTCAAATTAGAAAGCTGATTGAATCAAATAATATTGTATATCAAAATATATTATATATGGAAAATATATATAAAGTGAAAATCATATTAATATATTATATGAAAATTTTGACTAAATTTTAAACTAATTATGAAGAGACAATTTACAATTTAATATAGATTTAAAGAAGGTTATTTTATTTAATTTTATTCATCAACTCAAATTTACCCTATTGCACATATTCTTTAAAACTAATAACTTTGTTTAAACAATCACAATATAAAATGTTTATTAGTAACTTTAATAGGTACTAAAAAGGTTATGGAAATTTTGTAATAACAAATGGATATAGAATGATTTTCATATCTATTCAAATATTCTGCGTTGTACACTTACTTATAATATTTATATATATATATTAATAATGCTTAATGATTCAACTGATATTTAGACGTAATCAAAAGACTAACAAAACTAATAACCCTAATATCCTTATTTTGTGTATAACTTTCCACCTACTTCCATGATGGATTATAATAACTCTCAAATTCCATAATTATAAATTAGAAACTCAAGTATAATGTGATTTTCTATAAAGATGACTCAATTTTTAAAGATAATTTACAAATTCCAGGATTCCTTTAAGGCCTCTCTGTACCGAGCTTTTAATTCAATAATTCCAATCAATTTTATTTGAATGAATAGAAATCTCCATATGTCCCTTCTATGGCAAGTGCATTAGCATCTGTTTTTAATGAACAACAAATATCAAGTTTGTAAAATGAGAATAAAAGAAATCGAATAATAATTGGTACTTAAACACTTTGCGATATAGAGATGATATTTGTATAAAGGTATTTCGATATTAAATCCCAAGTAAATTGATGTAATATTTTAGTTATTTTGTCCTCCAAATATTAAATACACCTTAAATGAAGAGAGATCCATTTCGAATTCAGCTTGGATGAAGGATCGAATAAAAAATAGATATAAAAAGCCAGTAATACATTTATTAGAGTATGTAGATCAAGGAATCTATGTTTGATTTAATTAATGTGTTGTCTATAGATGAAGAATAGAGCAATAGATAATTTTATGGATATCATTAGTTTTAGTCTTAGGGATTTGATAATTTAGAGAAGCAAGTGGCTAAATCAGTAAAATAAGAGAAACCTTTTACTGAAATGATGGTAGAAATACAATTTTTAATGAAATAATTTTTAGTGACAAAATTTTGAATTAGAAATATTTCATATAATCATTTAAACTATTTATTCAAATTAAATCTATTAATCTAATGAAAATTGTTGAGCCCATTAACACATTTTATTAATTAATTACATTTTAATTGATCTAGTATTTATTTATTTTTTATTATCTCTTTAAGCCATTTTTTTCATTTCATTTTATTACTCATTGATAAATCTAAGTAATCTTTCGATTTCACTTTTTTGCATTTAATTTTACAGATTAAGAGTTTAATTATTAGCTGCCATTAATTTAACTTAATAAGTTAAATCCTCTATTTGCTTTTATTTCTCTTTCAATTCGAAAAAATAGTCTTCCTAACCTTATTTTCTCACAGATGTAGTAAGAGATCTTGGAAATTTTAAATCATAAAAACTACTATCCTCACTAAGTTCACTAGTCATAGTAAAAACAGTTTAACGATAAAAATTAAATATATAAATAATATTTCATAATCACTTTATAGCAATATATATAAAATGTTATATAATTACAATTAGTATTATATATTTAAATTAGAGTTTTATTGATAGTTTTAATAAATTAAAAAGTATTACATAATGTAATTGTTGTTGGGGAATATGAAAATGAAAATATTTTATGATTTTGATATTATTTATATTATAAAAAAAGAGGAATATCAGAAAATATTAATTATTAATATGTTAATTTTTATTATTCTTATTTTTTAAATATCTGGAAGAAACTTGTAAGGAAGAGGTGCACCTCCTAAAAAGGGTGAGAGATGGGATCAATCAAATTAAGCACTTGATTAAATTTTTGATCATATATCAGGCAATTTAACTGAATAACAAGAATAGGAATTAGAATTAATTTAAGGTTATATATTGAACGAAGGACTATTATATTATAGTTAGGCTAATCAAGAAGAAAAATAAAAGATATTTCTTGCTCTTATATAAATGGTTGCTGAACTTGAGACTGAAAATGAATAAGAAAATATAAGACTTGAAAAAGATATTGAATATTTTAGTTAACTTAATATTACAGATAAAAATATTGTAATGACAAAGATTTCACAAAAATTAGATAAAACTCTTAAAGATCCTTCTCAAGAATTTAATAGTAAAGTGGTTTTGTTGATAATAAAAAAAGAAATTGAAAGTTTTAAAAATAAACCTGATAGGAGTTCAAAAGCAACATGGAATATATAAGAATATAAAATAATATAGGAGAGGAATGAATAGGAAATGAAGGAAATAGAGTATTAAATATAGGAATTTTTAGATTAGGGTTTGTCAGAAGATAAAATAAAAGAAAAAATAACAGATTTTATTCAATTTTATTTTGGTAATTCAACATCAATAGACTAAAGTAACAATAGTATAGAGGAAATTATTCAAGATGTGAAGAAATAAGAAGAATAAAATACTCAAAGATAGGAAGTGAAATAATATAGATAAAAGGTAAGAGAATTGATAAGGGAATTATTGGAATAGGGAAAAACTGAAGAGGAAATATAGAAGGAAGTCAATGATTATTTAATTAAGAATGGTGTTAATGATTTGAGTGATGATGAAAAGAATTTAATAAATTTACTTATTCAAAAAGAAATGATTCGAAATAAAAGATAGTAAGATTATTTAAATGATGATTAATCTAAAGTCTAACTTAATAATAATCTTAATTATATTTACATTGGAATATTTACTAGTATTTTATTGATGACCTTAGTAGTGTTTCTGATTAGAAGATATAAAATGAAATAAAATTAAAAAAAATAGATTGGATTCAGAATACAAGATAATACATAAGATGTTGAACAAATGGAATGAAATTATATATGAAATTTAATTAATTTATTTTTTATAATGAAATATTTATTTATTTATGCCACGTTTTTGGTAAGTGTATATTGTTTTTATGATTTTATTCCTGATGATATTATAACATTCACATTAACTGCAAATTAAGAGGATGTATTATTAGAGAATATAACTGAACCAACTTTAATAAAAGGAGCATATTAAGTTAATCATCATAAAGATGTGATTGATTTCTCAGTTAAAACTCCAACTGGAAGAACAATTTATTCTAAAATGGCAACAAATAAAGGAAATTTCACTGTTTAAGCTAATGAAATTGGTTTGTATTAAATAATATTTAACAATAAAAAAAAGGCTAATTAATTACTTACTTATGCAGTGGATGTTGTTAAAGAAAAAGAGGACAAAATCAAATCTACAGATATTGACCCATTAGAATTAGATATAGATTATATACATATTGGACTTTAAGAATTATATTATGATCATAAATTTTAATAAATCAGATATGAATCATCAACATAATAAGTTAAAGAAGCCAATAAAAAAATATATGCTTTTACAGTCATTGAAACTATTTTCATTGTTTTAGTTACAATTTGGCAGATTTGGTATATTAAGAGATTATATAACAAAAGATCACCATTACTCTTATGATATGATAAAATTATTATTTTCATATATAGATGATCATCTAAATTATCAATCCAAATATTAAAATCTGACTAAAGACATAAAGATCACATTATCTATCTAATTCATTTGCATTGGCAATTGATTTACATTAATCCATAGGATTATACCAAACACAAGTCAAACCATCAAAAGCCTATTAACAAGTGATTGTGTCTTCAAAGTCTTCACATCTATTTTATATTATTTTAATTACTTTTAACGATAACAACTACCTGTTTAGGTTTACCATTTACAACCATACAAACCATATTATTCACAATCACATTAATTTGTCAAAGAAAAACAACTCATACACTTAACACTACTATTATCAGTTGCCCCATTAAAACATGAATCAGTACTTGAAAATGCAGAAAAGCATTCATTAGAATTTGTATAACTTTTACAATCAAAAATATCACATTTATTATTTATCCATGCACATTAATCATCTAAATCAATTTTCTAACATAATTCTTAAGTAATTATATCAGAACACAATAATAACTTTTAACATATTCCATCTTTGAAAATACAATTATCTCCATTAGATTCTTTACAAGTTGTTTGATCATAATCAGAACATTATTTTATTCTACAATTAGTATCCCAAATGCAATCCATACCACCTGCTTTAACCACTCCACAAGAGGTTTAATTATCTATCTCTGAGCATTCTGAAACAGAAACGCAATTTGCTCCACTTGTTGAACAAGCCTTATTTTCATAAATCATTTAATCACATGGAGGTGTAGCCAATTCACATTTCATATTAACACAACCATTTGTAGTCCATTTGCATTGATATCTAATTAATTATTTGTATATAATACATTCCATTTATAATATCTAAACAATCCTTTTCTTATGTAACATCCCCACAAACTAAAGGAGACAGTCCCATTGTTAAAGATAAACAATAAAAAATTAAGATCAACATCAGGTAATTATTTATTTAAAGTATTTAAACTAATAATAGATAAAAATAATATTAGATCAACTTAAAGATAAAGATATTTATGTATCTTATTTATTTGTGTAATTCATTAGGTATTGTGTAAGATTTATAAATATATTTAAGAAATAAAGAGAAGAATAAATGAATACAAAATTTTATTTATTTTGCCAGCATAATCTCATTTGTATTTACATTTATTATAATATTAAATTGCGAAAAAATCGTTAAAATTCAAATGTTGATAAAATGGTTATAAATCTGTAATGTTATGAATAATTCAAATAATCATCTGAGGGCACCTGACATCCGATTCTTAGTTAACCTACGAATATTGTGTTCTTCTTTTACATTGAGGGCTTCTAAATCGTCATCATTATTTGATAATGACATGCTTAGAAAGAATTAATTCAAATTGTAAATATTCAAATAATTATTTGTTGCTATTATTGGAGTACACATTCTAATTGGCCTTATGATTTGTTTCATCATTTTCATTGTTCTGAAAATTTAATACATAAGCTATTATTATGTAATTAATTCTGGTAATATATTTATTATTTATTAAAATAATTATCTGAAGACATAATAAAATTCACACTACAAGTAAACAAGAGAATTTTACTATAAATGTGTGAATAAAAGATAATGTAATTTTATTTTTAAATATAAATATGATTCATATCATATATTCTATAATTCTTTTTTATTATTAAATTAAGAATTTCCCTATTGAATTTACAAACATAAAAATCAAATTTTAATTAATTCTGTAATGATAACAAATCGAATTATCATTTCATATCAATAATTAATTGTAAATATAATATGAATTTAAATGCAATTATTTGATAAAACCTAATATAATTATATAAAATATTACTTTATAAATTCTTTAATAACAACTTTACTTTCATAAATTTTTAATAACATACTAGCAACATGTAAAAAAAGAATCCTTTAGTTGATTATCTATCCAATCGAAATATTAAATGCTATCTACACAACGAACCTGTAAGTTTTTTAGACCTTTCAAAAGTATGTTAAGATAGATCAAGATTAAAATGTGAGTATTGCAAATAAAATTAATACTGCGTTACAATTCAATAATTCAATAATCTTTGTGAACAATTCTCTAAGATTACTAAGAATACTAACGATTAGATTTTGAAGGCATATTAGGAAATATATTCAAGCATATAAACAACAATTAATTAAATGAATGATAAAATTTAGAATACAATATTTAAACCAAAATATGATAAAAATTTGATTAAGTACCTAGAATCATACATACAAATTATCTATTCATATAACTACAAAGTAAATATTTTTTCAAATATAGTATGCTGCGAATAATTCAATAAAAGAAATTGGGCTTTAAGAATTTGAGCTTCTAACATAAGGTATTTCAGAAGAGGTTGATTTTCAAGGATTAGATAATTAAATAACTATGAAAATTTAAGCTATTGATGATTAGAAATTAGCTGAATCAAATTAATATTTAGATTTAGTAATGTAATTAAATTAGATGATAAGTAATTTTGTTGTATAAAATAAATTGTCTAATTCTTAAAATTAGAATAATAATTAAAAAATTGAAAAAATTGAAAAAAATGACCAGGCTAAACTGATTGAAAATAGTGATATCTAAATTTTTAATTAAGAGGGACAAATATTAGGTTCGAATTCCAAATTACCTATAGCTGATATCTAATTAAATTATGATTAAACTATACTTGCTGCAAGATTATGTGAACCATGTAAAGAAATATTATTTTGGAAAAAAGATAATATTTAAAATACATGGATTAAATATCAAATCTGTGAATGTTATACAAAATCTTTAGTTTATTTTACATTCAGTAAATTATAAAACATTCTATTAACAAGTGGATCTGATTAAAATAAAAGAAATATGGCTATATTAAAAATATGGGTTTTGAAAGAAGATTCTTGGATTATTAACTAAACATATGTAACATAAGTTCAGCCAGGACTTGGTTATTAAAGAATTTCATGTATTGTTATGAATCCAACTGAAACCCATATCTATTTGGCAGAGGGAACTCGTATTGTTGCATTATAATAAAAATCTTTGAACTATGAATTAAAATACTGTGTAGAGAAATCAAGTGAATTAATTACAACTTTAGGAATATCTAATGATGGAAAAATATTAGCTGTTGGAGGTTGTGATTAAAAAGTAACTATATGGAAAATTGATGATGCAAAATTAGTTTTGTTTTAATAACTAAAATTGTATAATACTCCAAAAAGTATCATATTTGGTGCATATGATCAAGATTTAATTATTTGTACTAAAGATGGTTTAGTTCATTGTTTTAATAATTAATATTAAAAATAAAAAGAATATTATGAAATTCAAAAGATTTTTAATAATATTGCTAAAATTAGAACAATTAAATTTAATCATAAATTATCTATTTTAGCAATTGGAGGAGAAACTAATGTGATTTAATTATGGAAAAAAGATTAATAAAATTAATGGAAATGCTTTAATGAATATAAATAAGATAAGTTTATAGAATCTATTTGTTTTGCAAAAGGTTAAGAATTTATATTTGCAACAAATAATAATGAAATATATTTACATTAATTATTTTGAAATTAGTATCTCATATATATTATAAATGATTGAATTTAAATTGAAAAAGAAAATAACATTTTTAATCTTGATTGTTATTATTATGATAAATCAAAATACTTCTTCTCTAATTTAGAGGAATTCTGAAGCTGCACTTAATTTTTAGGTTAAGACTTCTTATAATCTTTCAACAACTTCCAATTATTATTCTCTTTCGAAAGTTTAGGCTTCATATTAAGCTTCTTATTCAGCAGCCCATCTTTCTTGAATAGCCAATGAATCTTCAGCATCTTCAAGGAATAACTATGTTTAGTTTATGATAATACAGTTTAATCTTCTAAATCTTCAACAGCTTCTTAGATGGTGACTTTGAATTAGACAATTGAGTTTTCCAAGAAAGCCTTTCTTTCAACTAATCTCTTGTGTTCTTCTTATAAGTGACTACTTTAGACTTCCCAATTAGCAGCTTATCTTTCTTCAGTGGCAAGGAGTGAAGCTCTACTGGCAACTAATTATTATCTGATTTAAGCCAAGAGTTCTAAGATTTTGATGATACTCTTGTTGTCAACTTTGGAAGCTAATTAGGTCAAAGCATTGATGAGTGGCTGTAAAATAATAGCAAATGATAATATACTTTGAAGAGAGCATGTTTGCTTTCCATCAATTTAGCTTAGACTTTTTCAAATCTGCTCTTGAGTTAAGCAAAAGCAACACCAGCTTATAAATGTTGAACAATCTTTGAGGCTTCATCGATGGCATCCATTTAATCAACATGTTCTGCATCTTTTCTAACCCATGTTTCATGTTATGATTATCTAGTGGCTGATTCGTCAGCAAAGCTTTTTTCGTTATTGGCAATATCAGATGTGACAACTCTGACTTCAGCTTCAGCTTCACCTAAGGCCTCAGTTGTTGAATCTCTTAAGTTAGAGAGGGCAACAATTTAGGATTAATGATAAGCAATTTCTTATTCTAAGTCAGCAATGATCTTCTCAAATGCAACAGTGTCACTTTCATGAACTTTGTCAGCTTTCTTTTAATCTCCATTCAATTAAGAAGCAATGTTATTTAAGAGGATTTAGATCTCACCAACAGGTCCACCTGTAGCCAATTAGAGTTGGAGAACTGAAAGGATGGAATTACCAAATGAATCCTTGTTGACTTAAGCCAAAATTTCCTTTGGACTTTCAGTCTTTGTCAATCGTGCTGTAGCAACTGCAATAACAATAGCCAATATTGTTAATGATCTAGCCATTTTTTTAATTATTTATTATACATCCAACCATGATCATGTGATTTACACTTATTACCCGTTTTTGATAGTAATATATATATAATACGTTTTTAATTTATGAGTTTCATTAACTTAGAATAACTTGATCAAGAAAACTCACTAATAGACTATCATAACACACTTAATGAAACACTTGATTCCCTAGCAAATACTATTCAAGACCTTCGAAATCCATAAATCTGTTTTGTAACTACATTATCTACATTAGGTTTCAGACACAAATATTGCATAGCTCTACTTGTAATAGATATGTGAAAAATTTCCATAAGCGATAACATTCATATTACCAGTAGGAGAAGGAGCTAAAAATTTACATTTTGCAAATGAAGTGGCAGAATACTTATTTAGCAAAAGATTTTGTAGATAAGATTTAGTGATCGCAGTCGGAGGAGGAGTTGTGACTGACTTGGTTGGATTCGTGTCCAGCATATATATGAGAGGGTTTGGTATATTTAACTATTCAACAGAATAAAATTCATTTTGATTCCCACATCGTTGTTGGGAATGGCAGATGCTAGTGTAGGAGGAAAGACAGGTATCAACAACATCTACGGTAAAAATCAACTAGGAGTAATAAATGATCCATATAGAATCAAAGTGTGCAGTTAATTTTTGTAATCATTAGATAAAAGAAATTTTCTAAATGGTTTGGCAGAAATCATTAAAATAGCAGCTTGTTTTGATAGAAAATTATTTGAGAGATTAGAATGTTATGATTATAATTATTTAATGGATCCAAATAACTAAGCTAGTTTATTAGATATTATTAAATATGGAATTAATTTAAAGTTAAGTATTGTAACTGAAGACAAATATGAACAAAATATTCGAAAAATATTAAATTATGGTCACACCATAGGTCATGCAGTTGAATTTGCAAGTCAAGGTAAATTATTGCATGGAGAATGTGTATCTATTGGTATGGTTTTGGCAAATATATTGGCTAAAGAACATGGAATAGATACATCATCATATGAAAATAGAATTAGGAATGTACTTTTAAAATATGAATTACCTATTGAAATACCAGAATATGTAAATATACAAGATGTTTTAAAATATTTATAATTTGATAAAAAAGTAGTCAAACATGAAATCAACTTTGTATTTATTTAAGAAATTGGTAAACATAAATTTAACACTACTCCTATTAAAATGGATATTATTAAAAAAATACTTGTAAAATCTTGTGTAATAGTATGTTAAGACATAAGACCAAGCAAACCAATACATGGTTCTAAAAGTATTACTAATAGAGTCCTTTTATTAAGTTCCTTATCAGAAGGAATAAGTACATTAGGTAATTTTTATGATTCAGATGATACAAAAGCTATGTTAAATTCTTTATAAGATTTAAGATTATGTGAAATATAAACACACTCAAAACATAATCTCATTCTAGAAGGATGTTAAGGCTAATTTTATAAGAAGGAATACACAATAAATGTCAAGGAAAGTGGAACTTGTGCCAGATTTCTACTCCCTATTGCAGCCTTAATTGGAAATGTTACTATCATTGGAGCATAAAGAATTTATGAAAGACCAATTTAAGAGATGGTAGAAGCACTTAATTTAAATGTTGTATATTTATAAAAGGAAGGATAATTACCTTTTAAAGTAATTGATGGTCAATTTAATAAACATATTAAAATTAAATCTCAATTAAGTAGTCAATTTGTTTCTGGAATTTTAATGTCTGCTCCTTATTTTCCAAACGATGAAACATTAATCGAAATTATAGATTGTAATGAAAATGAAACCATTGTTAGTGAATCCTATATTGAAATGACTATATAACTTATGAATATTTATGGAGTAAAGGTTGAAAGAATCTCTAAGACTAAATTTTTAGTAAGGAAAGGAGTTTATAAAGCATAAAACTATGATATCGAGCCAGATGCTACAGCATTGAGTTATGATTTATTACATATAGGATTAAATGGTGGATCGATTGAAACCAAAAAGATATCCAAGTTATAGGGAGATGCATAATTTTTGGATGTCATAGAGTAGATGGGTATGTAAGTAGTGAGAGAATAAGGATTTTACAAAATAATCAAGAATTAAGACTTAAAACCTTAAGATGTGAATTGCATTAATTTTAGTGATACTTTTATTTCTTTAGCATTGTTAATGTCTTCTATTGAAGGTTAATGTATTATTAAAGGAATTGAAAATTAAAGAGTTAAAGAATGTGATCGAATTAAGGCTGTGACTGAAAATTTAATAAAGGTTGGAGTAGTTTGTTTATAATAAAATAATGAAATTTTAGTCAGAGGCAAAAAATATCAAAAATATAATGGTTATAGAAAAGATGTTATAATCAATACATATAATGACCATAGAATTGCAATGGCATTTAGTATTTTGGGAGGACATTTTGAGAAAGTGCAATATTAATATAGAATCATAATAGATAATAAAGATTGTGTAAGGAAGACATTTCCAGATTTTTATAATCATATACAAAGTTTAGGTTTATAATAATAAGCATTAACTTATAATTAAGAACAAGAATTCTTATACAATTATTAATATTATAAGGAACCCTTGTATATAATAGGTATGAGAGGAGCAGGTAAAAGTACTCTATCTTAATATATATGCAAGCAATTAGGTTTTGAATATATTAGCATTGATAATTTGATATCCAATAATATAAATGAATTTGTCACAAAGTATGGATGGGAATAATTTAGAAAATGTGAGAAGGAATAATTTATATAGATATTATTAAAATATTAAAAGAATGTAGTGGTTGATTGTGGAGGTGGAATCATAGAGGATGAATAAATATAGTAATTATTGATTGGTAAAAATGTAATATGGATTGAAAAGGATATAAATGAATTGATTGAAGATTTATAATCATAAAATAGACCACAAATTGGAAATGTTATGGAGATTTATAATAGAAGAAAATCAATATATTAGAGGGTCAGTAAATATATTTTTACATTGCCAAGCAGAAAATATATTTAACAAATTACATCTAATTATGATATTACAAGATATTATTAAAGAATAAATGAACTTTATTTACATTTTATAAAGTGCATTTAACATTTGAATTTTCCTAGAAACAAAATATATGTTTCTGATACTAATTTTGCATGCATATTTTATGAGGAATTAACAATTTTAGATCATTAAAAGATACATTTCATTAATAGAAATCATAATTTATTAGAAGTAAGAATGGACAAGATTGAAAACATCTAAGAATAATTTGATTAAATCAGACAATAAATTTACAACATCAAATTTTATCTTGATATTCCAATAATATTTACTTTGAGAACTAAATCATAGGGAGGATTTTATAATGGAACATAATATATTAAAATAATCGAATAATGGTAAAATAGTTTTATCGGAGATTATTTTGATATAGAAATGGATTAATTTAATAATGTAATGATTTCACAAAATTATAATAATTCTATCATTTTGTCATAACATTTATTTGAAAAAACAGAAAAATTGTAGATTATTGAATTCATAGATAGAATGAAATACATTTCAGAACACAATCCTAATACAATATGTTTGTTGAAATTGGCAATTCATTAAGATGCTTATCCATCAGAATTAACATATTAGGAAATTTCTAAATTATTCATGGGAATGAAATTTGTTATACCATATTTAGTTGTTTCTATGGGACCAAATTCACAATTATACAGAACTTTAAATAAATTTATGGTTCCCTTATCTTGTTTAACACCTACAGCAGTTGGTTAATGTACTATACAGTAATTGAGATCAATTAGAAGTTTAGCAAATTTTGAGATTACTTAAAATTATCATATATTTGGTGATGATTTATCATTATCAAGGAGCGATTTACTTCATTAAAAATAGTTTGATTAGCTTAATTAGCAACATAATAAATTTTATACTAAAGTCTCAATTAAAAAAATTGAATAAGCAAAACCATATATTAATAATATCAATTTTCAAGGTGCCTCAATTACAATGCCATTTAAGGAGGAAGTAAGATTAATTTTTATTTTTAGGTATAATAATACTTGACAGAATAATCAATAGAGGCTTAAATAATTGGAGCTGTGAATTGTATCATAAAATATGAAAATCAATTAATTGGATTTAATACAGATTGGTGGGGGATGTTTTGGCCTATATTTACTAGATTTCCTAAGAATATGTAAAAATGTTTAATTTTGGGAAATGGAGGTACAGCAAAGACTGCTATTTTTGTGGCTTCAAAATTATTTTTATTATAAGTCTATTTATATGGAAGAAATCCTTAGAAAGTTGAAGCTTTGGCAAAATAATATAAGGTGGATTTCATGAGACAGTCTGAAAAGACTCATAAATTTGATTTGATCATTTCAACTATACCTCCTGGGGCCGAGTTGCCTTTGTGTGAGGAGTGGTTTGATGAAAAAACAATTGTATTTGTGGCTAATTAAGGTGATGATCCTTTATTGAAGAAGCAAAATTCAATAAGCGGTAGGGAAATGTTTGAAGCATAAGCAATTGGGCAAGTACATCTGTTCAATGGGAAGTGAATATATATATACATTTTTAAAAATAAAAATTAATGAACAAATGCTTTAACCCTTAAATAAACAAAAATCTTTATTTAATTTTTATATGAGTTCAGGTGAAGAGGAGGATAAACAATATGAAATCGATTAGCTCCTTTAAAAAATAACGGAGGTATAATTTATTTTATACTTAAGATTGAGAACACTCGATAAGTGAATAGGCATTAAAGGAAGGTTGAAGAACCCCAATTTAATTTGGTTTGCTTCCTTAAGCGTCCACCAGTTGAAGACCTATCATAAGAAGAAGCACGTTTGTGTTACTTAGAAAATAAGAGGTAGATGGGTAAGTTTGTGTCATGATATTAATCAAGTTTTCTCAAAAAAACACATAGAGGAAAAATCAATGAAACACTTCTACTCTTCGAATAACTCAAGTAAAATATAAAGCAAATTGTTAACATTCTTTTCCAAAGTTTTGAGAGATCAACCCAACATGGTGGAAAGCTTTTTGCATGAGAAATACAATCACAAATTAGAAACAGTATTTGAATAGAAAGTTCATATTGGGATAGTAATATTTATATCTATTATAATAAGACATCTTAATAATTTGAACCCTCATTTTAGCCTACTAAATTACCCCTTCTTGGTTACAATTTTGAAGATGCTTTTAAAATTTAGTATGCTGATAATAGAATTGGGCGGGTTAATAAATAAAAGCAAAGAAAAGTATTGTTTATATATAATTCTTTATTTTAGACAAAGAATGAATATCAATCTTCAACTTAAAATGAATACTTTAATACAATCATTTAATAAGAATTATATGAAGATCCAATAGAAGTTGGAGATTAAAAGAAAAGTTGGGCAATTGTAGTTAGAAATGCAGTTAAAATTGCAAGATTCAAAGCAAAATTTAGATAAGATTTTAGGGAATTCTTTAAACGTATAGCATATTTTGCAGCCAAAGAAGCTAGAAGAAGAAATCAAAAATGTCAAAAATATTAGAAGGATTTTATGATGAGAGCAAAGAAATTATCAAAGGAAGCTTAAGCATTTTGGAGAAAGAGAGATAAAGAATTGATTGAAATAAAGAAAAGAAAAGAGAAATTAGAATAGGAAAGAAAAAAGAAAGAAGAAGAAGAAAGAGAATAATTACTATAATAAAAAAGATTAGAATTTTTAATGAAATAATCTGATATATATGCTCATTTTATGGCTAAGAAATTAGGAATAACTTTGGATAATAAAATCTAATAAACAAATGGGAATATAGAAATAGATGAAGCAAAAGCATTTGAAACTGTTTAAAAAGTAATAAATGATAATAGAAAATAATTACAATAATTTGATGGAAAGGAATAAGAGAATGTATAAATATAAGAATTGAAATTGGATCATAATGATTAAGATAGAGATTTTTCACTTATTGCCCCTCCATCAATTTTTCATGGAGATCTTAAAGAATATTAATTAAAAGGATTAAGATGGTTAGACAATCTATATGATTAAGGCATTAATGGTATATTAGCAGATGAAATGGGATTAGGTAAAACAATTTAAGCAATAGCATTATTATCACATATTAGTTCTTTTAAATAAGTTTGGGGACCATTTTTAGTAATTGCTCCATCATCAACCTTACATAATTGGTAATAAGAAATTAAAAAGTTTTGCCCTTCACTTAAAGTACTACCATATTGGGGATAAGCATAATAAAGGAAGACTATTAGAAAATATTTTCAATAAAAGAATTTTGGTTAAAAATAGTCATTATTTCATGTAGTAGTTACTTCTTATAACTTGGTTGTTTCAGATAATAAAATATTCAATAGAGTAAGATGGCAATATATGATATTGGATGAAGCTTAAGCTATAAAAAATATTAATTCATAAAGATGGCAGATATTATTATCTTTTAATGCTAGAAATAGATTATTGTTAACAGGAACACCTATATAGAATACAATGGGAGAATTATGGGCTTTGTTGCATTTCATAATGCCTAAATTTTTTGATAGCTTTGATTAATTTTAAGAATGGTTCTCAAAAGATATAGAGGCACACTCTTAGGATTAGAAAACTTTAAATTAACATTAATTATAAAGATTACATGCTATATTAAAACCTTTTATGTTAAGACGTTTGAAGAAGGATGTAGAGAATGAAATAGGTTAGAAGAAAGAAATTCAGATAGTTTGTGAAATGACTAGTAGATAGGCAGTACTTTATAAGAATGTTAAATCGAAATTATCTATTAAAGAGTTTTTTAGAATGTTGGATTCAAAGTAAAAAGTGGATAATCTAATGAATTTGGTTATGTAATTCAGAAAGATTTGTAATCATCCTGAATTATTTGAAAGAAAACCTTATAAGACACCTTATATATTTTAGGATAAATAAAATGTGGAAGTTTATTAATAAAATCCAATAGTTTAGGTAACAAAGCGAAATCCTATAAAATTTATAATACCAAAATTAATTTATGATAATTTAATTGAAGATAAGCCTTGTATTTTTACTGCTCATTATATCTATACTTCTCTAAAAAATGGAGATTCCACTTTTGCATTTTTTGTTTTAAAACATTTACCATTAGGATTATTTTAAAAAAATATATTTGATTTGATTCTTTTACTTTGTAATTTTAATGAACCAAAGAGTTTAATTAATTATTCATTTTCTAAGTAATTATAATTTTACATTTCGATTGCGTAAAGTTAAATTATAACATTTGAATGTAGATCAAGTTCATTCTATTAAAAACTCAATTAAAGTTTATATAATAGATAAGCATTATCATTTATAAAAGAATCTTAAGCTTGTTTCATTTTACCAAATAATCCAGATTCATTAATTGCTTCGTCATCTAAATTATTATAATTGGATAAATTACTTAAAGAACTAAAATAAAAATAATGGAGAGTATTGATATTTTGTTAGATGACAAGAATGTTAGATATTTTGGAGGAATATATGTTACATAAAGGATATACTTATTTTAGAATGGATGGTTAATGTTAAATCAATGATAGAAGAGATATGGTTAATGAATTTTAATAAAATGATAAAATTTTTGCATTTCTATTATCTACTAGAGCAGGTGGTTTGGGAATTACTTTAACATAAGCTGATGCAGTTATTTTTTATGATAATGATTGGAATCCAACTATGGATGCTTAAGCAACAGATAGAGCTCATAGAATTGGAAGAACAAAGGATGTGTATGTTTACAGATTAATTACAAAAGGTACTATTGAAGAGAGAATAGTTAAAAGAGCATAACAAAAATAAAATGTTTAATCAACTGTTTATTCAGGTGGATTCTAAGGTGATAAATTTAAACCTTAAGAAGTATTATTATTAATAATTAAAATATAGGTTTTTGAATTGTTATTTGATGAATAAGATATGGATGAGACTGTAGCTAATAAATTTATGGCTAAAGGATAAAAGAAGAAAAAGAAACCTTTGAAATAAGATCAAAAAGATATAAAAGATTAATAAAAGGATTAATAAAAAGATTAAAAGGAATAATAGGAAGAAGAAGAATTTATTCAAGTTGATTTAAGAGAATTAGAAATGAATGAAAAAGATTGTGAGGATGCTGATTGATTATTGTTATAATATAATAAAATCATATAAAATTATTTGTAAATTAATGTATCTTCTTATATTAAAGATCATCATTATTATAACACTTTATATTTTAATAACTTTAATTTATGTCTTGATATATAGATCTATTATTATAATTAAAATAGTATAATATAAATAATAAAAATATTTTTATTTTTCCTGTTTATGATTAGAGTTTATAATAGTTTAATTAAAAATTTAGTTTAAAAATAAAATAAACTAAAAAATGTCCAGAAGGTTTAATTAGATACAGAATAAATAAATTGATTGGTCAAATGAGTAACAAAGAAAAAAGAGACTTATTCTTGATAGTCCAGATACTAAAGAGACTGTAACTATATTACCTAAATAAGTATGATATTGATCTTAATAAAATAATAGAAAATACCAAACTCAAACACATTACCTAAGCATTTTATTTCTGGACAAAAGAAGAAAGCAAGATTAAAATAATAAACTTAAGAAGAATGTCCTATTTGTTTAATGAATTTAGATGATGTATAAAAGGTTTGTGAAATTGATGTATGCAATCATTAGATATGTTCAACTTGTATAAAAGAATGGGCAGAAAAATATAAAACATAATGTCCATGTTGTAGAGCAAAATTCAAATTTATTTATCCAATAAAAGATGGAAAAAGAGAAAACAATCCAATAAAATTAAATTTAAATTTACCAAAATGGAATTAAGAAGAAGATGAATTTTATGAAGATGATTATGATGATGAAGAAAGATGTTAAGTTTGTTAATTTTCACATACTCCTTATTTAATGTTAATTTGTGATAAATGTAATGATGCATTTTGTCATACTTTTTGTGATCCAGCCTAATTAGAATTAAAAGTTCCAAGTAGTAAATGGTATTGTTTGGATTGTAGAAAGTCAAAATTTATTTACTACAAACATAGATGATATAAATGATTTCATAAAATTTAATATTTTTTCAGTTACTCTATCTTTATTTATGGATATTTATTTTAATTCAATTCTTTCTTTATAGAACTCATTCTCTTTGGTTGAGTATTTCTTTGGGGGAAATAATTTATGATATTAAAATTTTTTTAAAATGAATCTTATTTGACTTTCATCTAATTTTCGAACTCCATTTTAGTTGAAGATTTATGTTCTGATTTAGTCATCGATTTAATCGTCTTTATTTGTGGCAATAATAATTATTTTAATTACTAATCCTACTGAATAGATTAAGTCTCGGCCTATATGGTCTTCTATTTGAATAAAAATTTCTTGGTTTCTTAGTAAGTGTCTTTCTTTTTAACCATATCATGAACAAAATCTTATTCACATTCACTATCAGATTCATTCTATTCATCACTTAAACTCTTAATCATTGGTAATGTAGCCTAATCAGCTATAGGTTCATTACATTTTTCAATTGAATTATATATTTATTAAGCAATCTCTTTATAATCTGAATTACTAAATCTACCATTTTATGAACCAAACAAACTTATTTCAATAGTAATTGAAAATTAAACCTTGTATTGATACCAGAATGTCTATCTAGCAGTACTCTTTCTATTTGCTTATGTTTCTAAAGAACAATAATTCAAATTAAACAACGAGTGATTCTAAAATTTAGCAATCAAATTCTTAATTTCATTATTATTATTTTAATTATTAGCACATCCATATATAAAATAATGTTGTTTAGTTGAATGACCATGTAAATCGACCATCATTATAATCTTCTATTTATATTTCTCTAAAGACTATTTAATGTAGTAAACCTCTGGTTCTGATGATAGTTGAGGATTAATCCATTTTCTATTTAAATCAACACCATGTAAATTACATCTACTATTACCTAAGAATACTCCATCTGGATTTACCATTGGATATATAATGTATCTATATTTAGTAGAATTGATTATATTAATTAATTGTTCAACTACAAAAGACCCACTAGTTTCACTAGGATGCTATCTAGCCAAGATTACAACATATTATTTTGCTTTACCTCTTTTAATTTGTATGATTGGGTTATTTAGTTATGTGTATCCAATAGTCTTATAATCAGTTAAAGTAAGTGCTCTAGAGAGTGGATAGGGTTGAGCATATGCAAAAGTAATTATTTCTTCATCTTGAAAAGTGAATTTAAACTCTAGAGTGTAAAAGGGCATTAATTATTAATATTTTGCTATATATGAGTCATCATTTGCATAGTAGGGATGATGTATATTGGTTTTATAGTAGTGTAAATCAAAGCAAGCTGATTTAGATGTATATGGTTTAGAGTTAGTTAGTAACTATTGACTTCTTCGATTATTTAATATTTTAAATTTTATTGTTACTGTAGGTTTTAATGCTTAAACCTAAAAATGAAACCATTATGTGCATCCATTTGTATTTGAATCACTATTTAATAATATATTAATTGTGTCTTTGTCTTCTGTAAGATAAAACAAGTTAGAGGAATCATATAAAGAGTATATCTAAATTTAAGTTGTAATAAAAGTGAATTATCCATTTGGTTAATTTGATTGAGGTTGAATGGTTGTATCAAGGAGTTGTAATTTCTTTTGGAATACTTTAAGATAATTTATTAAGGAATAGTTATGAGTAGTGATTAATTGCAATTTTTTATTCATGCATTATTAATACGTATATTTGAGTATATTAAATAAACAAACTTTATTTTTATTTTTAATGATATCTGGACTATAGAAGATTAGATTCAGGAAAGAAGAGTAAGAGAAGATGGAAGATTAAGAGATTGAATTGGAAGCACTTAATAAAGTTGATAAAGAATTGGAAATGCTAGATAACAGTTCGTAATATTAGATTGAGTATATTTATAGAGTATGGAAATCAAAACCATTAAGAATTATATAGAAAATAACAATTTTCATTACTAGACTTAAACATAGTTCAACTACTTACAGATTTAAATTGTTAAAGAAAAGCATTTTTCTATTAATTAGAGATAAGGCTTCTTCATTTCAATATTATCTAAATAATTATATGTTATTTCAAAAACCTACTAGAGTAATATAATTAAAATTAATTTAGTGGATATAAATTAAATATGATGCTCATGCTAACAATCCATTATGGTGGCGTTTTTGGTGTTTTATTAAAAGTGATGAAACAGTTCTATTACCAGCAGATAAATTTCTGTTTATATGGGATTTATTGATGATGTTAGTAACAATTGCTAACATATTTTATGTACCTTTGTAATTGTCATTTAATTTAAATGAAGATGATTTGGGTAGCATCTTTACTCTTTTTAGTACAATACCAAGTTGTATATTTTTAATTGATTTAATCTTAACATTTTTTAAAGGATATTATGATAGAGGAATATTATAAAGAAATAAAGGAAAGATCTTTTGGCATTATATTAAGGGTGATTTTTTATTAGATTTGGCAATAGTATTACCTTTTATTTTATCATGGATGGGATATTCAGCTGCAAATTATTTGATGTTGATTCGAATGACAAGAGTCAGAAGAACAATGATAGTAATTGAAGAGATATCAAATTTTAAAGAAAAGAGTGCTATAATTTATTAATTATTTTGTCTAATCTATTCTCTATTATTGATTTCTCATTTTTGTGCTTGTCTATTCCATTATTTTGCTCTTTATGAAGTAGAATAAGGTTACACTCACACTTGGTTACATCAATAGAATATATTTGATGAGGATTTGTACACCAAATATTTCAATTCACTCTATTGGATTACTATTACATCAATGACTGTTGGATATGGCGATATTGTTCCAGTTACAACCCCTGAGAAAATATTAGTCACTATCATTACTTTCTTAGTCACTGGAGTTTTTGGGTACGCATTAGGAATGATATAAAGTATTTTCTATAAAATGGCAGAGCAAACTAACATAAACAATTCCAGATTGAGATTAGTGAGTAATCATATCAAGTAGAGAGGATTGAATACTTAATTACAGTTTAGAGTTCGCAAATATATAGAATATTATTTGTAATTTAAGTAAGATGAAGAATTAGATTTGGATGAACTTATGGGATAACTCAATCCTAAATTAAAATAAGAAGTCTAAATAGCAATGTATTATCGTTATTTAAAACATTCTAAATTGTTTGGAACCAATTTTTCTGATGATCTAATTAAAAAATTATGTTTCTGTATTCATGAAAGAACATTTGCACCTGAAGATGTTATTATTAGGTAATAATTATAATAATTCATTTAGAAAAGATGAATTACCAAATTAATTATATATTGTTTTAGCAGGATAAGTTAAATCTCTTATATTAGAAAAATCAATTAAAAGATATTAATAAGGAAATTTACTTTGTGAAAGAGAATTCTTTTATTAAGATTTTATGCAATATAATATTGTTGCATCTTCTTTTGTTCAAGTAGCCTACTTGAATCTCTCTGAATTTTAATCTATTATATAAAATCATAGATCTAGTTTTGAACAATACAGGTATGCAATAGACAATACTGTTTTTGGTCAAAATACTAATTTGATTATTTGTGAGGCTTGTTAGTCTCATCATTAATTCAAAAATTGTCCTCTTGTTTTCTTTAAAAAAAATAATGGCAAAGTGTTAGCTGCTTATCATAGTAATCATGTATAAAACAGACAAACATTTGCTAGAAAAAAATCTAAATACAAATAATAAAAAAATCTTATTCTCAATGGAGCTTATGATCATATAATTAAGATGAGAACATAATTAGGAGTATAAGTTGATTAAGCATTTTTAAATAAAATAGGATATCCAGGTTATGAATAATAAGAAGAAAGTGATGATGAAGAAGAAGATAAATATTAATCTCCTTAAGCAAGAAGATAGAGTTTTTCTTAATTTAATGAACATTAACATTCACACTCTCAAAAAACTCTTCCTTAAGATGAAAATTATAATGATTTTGATATTGATAAAGTTGAAGAATATGAATTCTATTATCCGCATGATAATATAAGTAAAATAAGTAAAATTGTAAACAAATAACAATTATTACGGAGACTGTTAGATAAAGTATCAAATAAAAAGAATTTATTTGCTAGCCTTGTATTTAGATAAGTAGTATAGAAAATTATATGAACAAGAATTAAAATAATAAAAAAATATACACTTTTCCTTTATAATATATATTTCTATTTTATAATAATAATCATAATCCTCCATCTGTTGTTATATTTTAACAGTCTAATACTTTTTTATTATATATTTAAATCCCATATAAGTTATAAATCATAATTTCAGCAATCTTCTAGATCATTTATTAATTTACTATAAATTATGATCTTTTCTTAGGTATTATTGAATTTAATTTTTATAACCCAAATTTTTCATCATAAAATAAATCATAAACAGAATGTAATGATATAGGATATTATATTAATGTAATCTATCCTGTGATTAAACTTACATAAAAGAATCCTCCTGAATGTTCTTAAATTGCATGTTCATTTAAATTTCCAAATTTAGATTTTGTACATTATCTGATGCAAAATACCTTTTCACAAATTAAACACACAAGAATATCTTTGCTATTTTCAAATTTTGTATTGTAATTTTTACATTTATCACAACCTTTAACAAAATACCTTTTATGGAATTCAGCAAGGTTTTAACCCAAATTAGAATTGAGCTTTTTACTATATATATCAAAGATTTATTAATTATATTCTATATAAGGATCTAATTCCTAAATCTTTATCTAACTCTAATGATTAAATTCTTAAACTTCTTAAGTAGAAATATTAAATATATCCAACAAAATTTATTTGTATTAATCTTACTTTAAATTTAATACAATTATTATTATTTCATTCTTTAATTGTTATTTATTTTAATTTATTATGATATTATTATATATTGAATAAATGATATTGAAGAATATCGATATATCTGTATCAAATTTATATTCTTTTGGTTATATTTTTAAAGGTGAAGATTAATTTATAATTGTTGTTTACTCTAACAACTAAATAATCTAATTTAATGTAATTATTCTATTTAGATCTCTAAATCTTTTAATATCAATAAATAGTTATTGTAACAAATCAATTATAATTTAAAGATATATTTCAATAATTATATTTTGATATTGATTCTAATTTGATTTTACTAAATAATCCCATAATCCATTTTCATTAACACAATCTATAAGATTCTTATTAAATAATTGAACTTCTAATTAAGTAATTGATTTATTCAATGGTATTTCTATATTGTATGAATGATTACATACTCTACATGCCTATTTATACCATCTAGGAAGTTGACTGCATAATGATTATTATGTATTTTATAGAACACAATTTGGATGATATTTGTGTGAACATCCATTAACACTCAATTAAAGTAGATTATGATTCTAATTAATCAATTAAGATAACAATATTTCAGGCATAGGAAAATGTTTATAATTATTTCTCTTAGATAATAGAATTGAAATACAAAATTTATCTTGTATTTAGAGTTTACAATAATCACATTATTGATAATCATTATTTTAAAGAGATTTATTATTAATAAGGTCATTTTATTAAATTAAACATTATTCCTCTTTAGCTTAGATTTTTATTGATTATTGATCATCCTGTAAAAATGAGAACGTTTAAAATTATTCTATTAAAGTTACATAATATTATTGTAAGGGTTCATATTAAGAATCTTATTATATTTTTTTTAAAAGCTAAAGAATAAGAATGAAATTGCTTTTTAATTCTTCAAGTCTAAAATAGGATGCTGCTAAAAATAAATTTTATATAAAAATGAAAGTTTCTTCTTCCTCATTTTTGTATTAGGATAAAAATTATAGATTATCTATAAGATTCTATTTGGAAGACAAATGATTGAGTATGTGCTTTTAAATTAAATATTAATTTTCTTAATGATATTAATTTATGTTCCATAATATTCCATTTCCAAAAAGTATATCCTTTGTTTGGATGCCTCTTTCATTTAATTTTTAATTAAATAGTTTTCTAAAATTTGGCTTTGCAGCAAAAAGAATAGGATCAAAGAGAGGGGGATATTGTGACTTTAATTTAAGTAATTTTGTAGTTTCATCTATTTCTAAGAAATTAAGAATTAGAGTATTTAGACCTGGAAATATGATTCCGAAATCTTCAAATCTGAGTTAGATAGTTTAGAATGTTGCCTATATTTCGATATTCATAATATTTTGAATTATTTTTTAAAGTGCTTGGTGAAGAACTATTGGTAAAATTTTTTATTCTCTAAAATAAAATATGGTTGAATTATAGATATCAAGATCAGATGTCATTAATCTCAATAGATATAAACTAAAATTAAATAATATATATACTAAGTGACTGTACATTAAAATGTTATATTTGGAATGAGCATATTATTTATTGCTCTATAAACATCAAGCAAGCCTGTTTCACCAAATAAATAAATATATAGTTTTCCAAACGCTGTGTCTATTGATTCTAATTTTGATCTCTAATTATTTTCCCCATAACCATAATAGAGTTAATCAATTTTTTCATCAGCCATCATCCAAATAGTAACATATTTCTAGATACATCTTTATAATATTTATTAAAAATTCTATTTAATAACTTCAATTGAATCATCAAAAATATATTACAAAAATTATAGAAATTGTTAAGGTTCTTTATATTCTTTAATTGATAGATATAAACATAGAGTTGTAATCAATATTTTATCTAAAATTGAGGCATTCTTTATTAGATAACAATATATTTTTCTTGCTTTAACCAATTTAATATTAGAATTATCTTTTTAATATACATATTATTTAAATATTTAAGCCAATTCAGTTTCAAATTTGACTCCAATATTTCTTTTATTTTTAATTAAATTATAGGTTTAAACAAGAATTACTTAAATGAAATTATTTTATAATTATTCAGTACTTTCAGAATCACTAAATAAACTAAAAATTCCAGTTTATATTTCTTTAATTAATTCTCCTTCAAAATGTAAGTAATATTTTAATTCAACTTCTTCATCCATAGATTATTTATAATCAAATTTTTTATTTGGTATAACAGAAGGTGTAGCTTTGCCAAAACAATTTATGAGTTTTGTTAATAAGTATTATTCATGATTAAAATTTTTGATAAGATTCAAATCAACATTTTAATTTTTAAATTTATCATAATCAACACCTAATGTATTTTTTAATGAAATCATATTAAATTTATCAAAATTCTCACTTCTAAATTTAGATCCTAAGAATTTAATTCCATACCAAGGATAAAGTAACATTTCACCTAATGGAACATGAATTAAACAGTAAGCATTTTCTAAAAAACTAAATAATTGAGTTTAATCAAGTTATTCTACTATAGCCTTCATTGTTATTTCATTAGTTGATTCCTTAAACTATTTAATATATTCACATTAAATGTAGCTATAAGATGTAATATTAGTTTATGTTAATTCTTATAAATAATTTTCAACGATATAATTAAATTCTTTTATTTATTTTTTATTATTCTTTGCATACTAAGGATCAATATCCTATTACTATGAAGTCAAAAAATCAATCTAATCATAAACTGAATAAATAGATTTTGTTGTTGTATTTTTAGCAAGTAAAAAAAAGCTTGAAAATATTCTTAAATTAACTTTGCATATAAATTCATTGAATTCTGAATTTGAAGTTAATCTTTGTATTAAATTAAAAATAAAAATTGGTAATTCAGGTGAAGATGCTTCATATAATGTTTAATATCTAATTAGACTTTCATACAAAGAATGTTCATAATTTGGTAATTATTTTTGGAATATATTTGCAATCAAATTTTGAAACTATTCTCTATCTTAAGTTAACCAATCAATTAAATTAAATATTATTTAATGAAAGAACTAACTTTTCACTAATAAATTGTAATAACCTCTATAATTTATCTTTTAGTCTATAGTTTATTTGATTTATTCAATTTTAAATTTTTCACACAAATGATACAATTACATTATTGGCAATCTAAAATTGCTCCATTATACTTCTATTTATTTCATTATTTCATAATAAACTGAACTAGCAGCCATAATAAATTACTCTATCTTTATTGCTAAATCTTCAGGTATCATATCATTTTAGTTTAATTTCTATTCTTCTAACATTTTATGAGTTTCACAATTCTAAATTAGAGTCAATCTTCCACAACTACAATTACCTACATCTGCAATATATTCAAAATTATGATCTTGGTTATATTTATATTTATATACTTTAATGTTCTTATATATTAAAACATTAAGAACATATTAAATGAGAGATGTCATCAGAGCATGTAATGCATCTGAATGCCAATTATTCTTCAGTAATTTCTTTATTACAAACATTCTTTTTAATTTTTTGGCTCATTTTCCATAAATTCAGATGATCAGGCCTATCAGATATATATTTTATAAAAATTTATTCTGATTCGATTGTTTGAGGATGATTTGTAAAAAGTTACTCAATTTATTGGACAAATATCATTATTTTTGTAGAAATTTATTTATTTTGAATTTCTCATTTCTTTGATACCTTATCAAATGGCTCAATAGAATCAAATCAGAAATTATAATAAATTTTATTTTTGTTAATCAAATAACACTATTTATTATTATATTATATTAAGCTTTATAATTAATCATTAGATATATTATTATTAAATATTATAGATATATTTGATAAGTAAAAATAATACATATGTTAATTATGATTATGTATATGTGATTAAGATTGATATTTAATAATGATTTTAAATACATTTTAATACAATTTATTAACTTAATACTATAAAAGAATGTCTATAATGAGAAGCATGTTTATTCTAATTTTAATTGGTTATGTTTAAAGTGTAGACATTTGTGTTTAATAAACTACTTATGAATAGTGTATCAATTTGAAAGGAGAATAATGTAAATGGAATGGTTAATATTGCAGATGGTCAAATAATTATTTATTTGGATGCGATCCAACTTTGAATGAAAAACTATGCACCAAATAAGTTGGGAAATTAGATGGTACAATAGCAATGTGTATATTTGATAAGACTTGTCACACTATTTATGAATAATATTTTCTAAAATGTTCAGATAAATTATCAAAGTCTGCATGTCTATCTATAACAAATCCAGATTAATTATGTAAATGGGAAGATGATTAATGCATAAATTTAAATTAAACAGAATTTAACAATATTAATGCTATATTTTAAAATTTAGAATTGAGTGCATCAGTTTGCAGTAGAATAACAGGATTTTTGATAATTCATCATTCAATATTATGGAAACTTTTAGAATATTCTCCAGATATTGTAACAGAAGCATAAAGAAAAGTTGAAATTGAAGCAGGAGTTGAATTTTAGGAATCCAAAACTTATTAGGATTCAAATTTGAAAGATAATGTTATCGATTCTAATGGAATGTTCATATGGTATACATTATCAACAAAGTAATCTATATCTGACAGTAAAATTTAATTATTAACTTAGCAAAACTTAATGATTTTTAAAGATATGGTTGCATTGCTTAAGAAATCTTAATTGAAAATAGATTTATAAAGTTATTTAGTTTAAGTGGAACAATAAGAGGAGTAAATCATGTTTATTGTAAATATTTGAATGTCCATCCTACAAATGCAATCTTTACTGTTTTTGCTAAATTTGAATGTTTACCAACAACAGAAGATTAATTATAGGATGAATCCTATATCAATAAAAATTAATTATAATGTTAAGATATGAGTGGTATAGTATGTTAAAGATTCAAAAGTTCTGAGATTAAATGTGTAATTGATTATACTTAGGAATTCTAATGCAGAAATACTGATATTATTGTTGAGATTGATGAATGTAAAACATTAAGTGGTATTGCTACTCATTATAATTGTGCTATTGTGATACAATAATATTGTTATTTAGATATTTCTAATTCAAAAGGATAATGTTCATAATAATGTTCAGATTTGACATCTAAATCTTAATGTGAAAACAATTAATAATGTAAATGGTTAGGAGATAATTTAGGAAATATAAATGATTCAAAATTATCAATATTTCGTGTTTGTGTACCATTAAAAGGCTGTAATTAAATAGGAATGAATAAAAAATATTGTTAAGAAATGAGTATGAATTGTTATTGGAATAATATAATTTAGAAATGTTAAGAAATTAAATTTATTGAATAATTAAGATGTGAAGATTGTAATTCAATATTTTGTTGCTCATCTATTACTATTTATGATTAATTTTGTATTTGGAATGTAGATAAATGTATAAATGTTAAAGATTAAAACTTATTTTCTCATTATTAATCATTCTCTTCATCAATAGTAATGAATTAGAATTTATGTTTATCTCAAAAAGGATAATACAATTATTATGATATAGTTACAAGAACTTGTAAAACTTAAAATATTAATTTATATTTACCTTGTGTTGATTTTCAAGATAAAGATTATGAACTTGATAATAAACCATGTGATAATGGAATAAATGGGAGAATAAATTAAGAATTATGTTTAGCTCTTATTAATTCTAATACAAAATGGGATGCTTCTCTATAGAGATGTATTCATGTAACTAATAAATCTATATCTTGTGATAATATGTAATTTGTTAATCCAAATTTATGTAAATATGGTATTGTCTAAGAATCATACCTATGTCTCTATAATTTAGATACATCAAGTTGTTATTCATCATAATTGATTGATCTTCATTGTGATACTCCAGGAATTAATTATGAATAATGTATATCCAATCAAAATGAAAATTGTTAATGGAAGGAAAATAAATGTATTTCTTTAACAGTTAATCTAATTGTTTAATATTATTGTTATGAATTCTAAAATGTAAGTCCAAATGTTTGTAGATTTACAAGTAGAAATTTTAGTTGTGAATATGATCATAACACATTTGGTTGTAAAATTATAACAAATTAAATAATTAATTCTCATAATTATGTTAATAATTAAGGTTGTTTAACATCAACTGGTTTATATTATTTTGATAATGTATAAAATTAATGTTTAGATGCAACTGACTATTTAAATATTTTAAATTGTGATACTGAATTTATTTCCATTTAAACTTGTCTTTCAATTACAACTTAAAATTAGAATTGTTTTTGGGGTTCTATTCCTAGTGACCCATAAGTAAAATGCAGATAATATAAATAATAATTCTAAACTACTTGTTATTCTTATTAATAATCAGCCAATCTAAATACTTGTACTTAAATGGCATCAAATTTATCACTCATTCTTACAGATGATTAATTTTGTGAAGTCATAAATTCAAAATGTGTCTCATCTATATCCAAAATTGAAGATATTGATTGTGGATACAATAGAATGATTAATATTCATAGATGTGTAGCATTTACTTAAAAAAATTGTTATTTTTAAAATAATAGATGTAATTTGTTATTTGGAGCTTAAGATTATTAATAAAAATTATTAGGAATCCTAGAATGTCAACAAAGTAATCTTTAAATTTGTATTTAAATTTTGACATCTGGTTAAACATGCCATATAACATAAGATAATAAGTGTGTATAATTGTATCTCTCCTTTTCTGATACATGCTAGAATATATCCCAATATGATATGAAGAATTATAATCCATAAATTTGTAGTAGAGCCTTCAATGCTTGTTATTATGATGTTGAGAGTAAAACATGTAAAGAACCTTATAATTTGAAATAATTCAAGTGTAATTAAATTGGTGCATCTAAAAAATTATGTTTACTATTTACATATGAAAACTGTGTATTTTATAATGAAATGTGTTAACCTCTTGTAGATTTAAATATAGATTGCAAATTTAGAAATAGGAATGCTTGTTTCTAAGGTATTATTACTTGTTATTGGAATGAGATGAATTCAGCATGTTAACCATAATATATAGATTGTCCTTTTTATTATGATAAGTCTATCAGTTGGTAAATTTGTTAATCAAGCAATTAAATGTGTTTTGCTGGCTAGAATGGATGTGTGAATAGTTTTCATGAAGTGCCTTGTTGGTTATCTCTTAGTTAATTCTTATGTAATTTATAATGGAAGTATTGTTAATGGTTGGATAATTAATGTGTTAATGAAAATTATGATTGTGAATAAGCATAAACACAACAATAATGTTTGTTACATAGATCTAATTTCTGTGTATTCCATAATAATAAATGTTTCACAATTCTCAACATTGAACTCTATGATTGTGATTAATTTGATTAAGTATCTGAAAATTTTTGTAGACAATACCAACCTATTTGTACATATTCTCAAACAGACTTTAAGTGTATTAAAATGAATTTCTTAACAAATAGTCAAATGATTGATGAATAATTTAAATAAAATACTTGTAGTTCAATAAATTAGAATATTTATAGTTGCATATTATAAAGATCTCTTAAATGTTCATACTACAATTATAGTTGGTATTAGTTTTGTGCAAATTCAGAAGAATTACAAACATGCAACTATTATAATGAAATGATATATCCATCTATTCTAACATGTGAATCTGTATCTAATTGTAAATTTGGAATGACAACTAAAGGAGAACCATTTTGTTCTACTTCACCTCTAAGATGTGAAAATTTGCAATATTTTTGTTTGAAAGACATCTTAGGATTGCATTGTTACAGTGAATTCGGTTCAGATGAATGTTTAACCTATAATGATGAGCTGTTTTGTGAGAATGTCTAATCTTTTAGAGTCAATAAGTAATTATGCTTATCAATTATGAAAAATCCCAATAATCTATCTGAATGTTATTACTAAGAGGAAACATAAACATGTAAATTGAAGAATCCTCTTTCAATAATCATAAGTACTGAAATACTCTATGATTACTATTATTGTCTTTTTCAAGATACAGAATTAATTTTATATTATGATGATAATTAAATTTTCGAATATTGTTCCACTTCTTAAGAAGGTAAACGAGAAAACTTGAATCTTTATGGATGCACTCAACTCTTAGATTCTACTTATTATTTTGATTTAGAACAGTTTAAATGTTACAAAGATATAACAGAACCTTATATTCAGATATTTTTATGTCATTAAATGAATGAATTGGCATGTTTATAAATATAAAATCATTTATCTTGTGTATGGTTTAATTAGAAATGCCATAAATATAAGAATGAATTTATAAATGTACCTTGTTAGAATAGAAATTATAATTCATGTCTAAAATCATAGACTTAAAAATGTATATGGAATTAAGATATTCTTTAATGTAAAGATAGTGAATGTTAAAATAATTAATGTGAATATAGTGAATACTATTGTCAATCTATAAATAAATTATGGAATGGCAATAATTGTTATGAATATAATAAAGATTTACCAATTTCATTTTTCAGATGTGATTAATTAGGCTTAAATAAAGATTTATGTTTAAATTATACTTAAAGTTTAACTTGTTATTGGAATGGATACTACTGTTAAGAAGCAAATCTTTATATACTTAATTGTTAGGATGAAGTATCATAATAAACTTGTATTTAAATTAAAAAACCAAAATAAATTTGTAAATGGATTGACCAAAAATGTCAAAATTTATATCAATCAAATTAATGCAATGATTTCTCTAATCTATAATATTGTAGATAAGCACTTATTAGTTGTTAATTCAATTTATCACTACAAAAATGTGAATAAAAATTAGATAACCCTTATATATGTTCTAACACATTAAGTTATAAAGCTTGCTAAAATGTTGAATAAGAATATTGTCAATTTGATGGCTATTGTAATATATGGTATAGGACAAGATATTCTTGTGAAAACATAGTAAACTATTGGGGTTGTATGAATACATCAATGTATTGTAAATGGACAGGTTAGTGTGTAAATATAGATAACACCTTTGAACCAGTAGCATGCCATAAAATTCCTATTGAAGTAATTTATTGAGATCTAATAATAGTTTAATAAAGTATCATGTAAAAAATACTCCATTGAACCATGTTTATANCTGAAATACTCTATGATTACTATTATTGTCTTTTTCAAGATACAGAATTAATTTTATATTATGATGATAATTAAATTTTCGAATATTGTTCCACTTCTTAAGAAGGTAAACGAGAAAACTTGAATCTTTATGGATGCACTCAACTCTTAGATTCTACTTATTATTTTGATTTAGAACAGTTTAAATGTTACAAAGATATAACAGAACCTTATATTCAGATATTTTTATGTCATTAAATGAATGAATTGGCATGTTTATAAATATAAAATCATTTATCTTGTGTATGGTTTAATTAGAAATGCCATAAATATAAGAATGAATTTATAAATGTACCTTGTTAGAATAGAAATTATAATTCATGTCTAAAATCATAGACTTAAAAATGTATATGGAATTAAGATATTCTTTAATGTAAAGATAGTGAATGTTAAAATAATTAATGTGAATATAGTGAATACTATTGTCAATCTATAAATAAATTATGGAATGGCAATAATTGTTATGAATATAATAAAGATTTACCAATTTCATTTTTCAGATGTGATTAATTAGGCTTAAATAAAGATTTATGTTTAAATTATACTTAAAGTTTAACTTGTTATTGGAATGGATACTACTGTTAAGAAGCAAATCTTTATATACTTAATTGTTAGGATGAAGTATCATAATAAACTTGTATTTAAATTAAAAAACCAAAATAAATTTGTAAATGGATTGACCAAAAATGTCAAAATTTATATCAATCAAATTAATGCAATGATTTCTCTAATCTATAATATTGTAGATAAGCACTTATTAGTTGTTAATTCAATTTATCACTACAAAAATGTGAATAAAAATTAGATAACCCTTATATATGTTCTAACACATTAAGTTATAAAGCTTGCTAAAATGTTGAATAAGAATATTGTCAATTTGATGGCTATTGTAATATATGGTATAGGACAAGATATTCTTGTGAAAACATAGTAAACTATTGGGGTTGTATGAATACATCAATGTATTGTAAATGGACAGGTTAGTGTGTAAATATAGATAACACCTTTGAACCAGTAGCATGCCATAAAATTCCTATTGAAGTAATTTATTGAGATCTAATAATAGTTTAATAAAGTATCATGTAAAAAATACTCCATTGAACCATGTTTATATAATGAAATAAATAAGAAATGTGATATGAAATTGACTAGTTCATTTGAAAGTTCAACCAATATAGATTAGACTAATTATACACAAATTAGATTGATATATGAATGCACTTAATTTATTGATAAAGAAGATTGTGTTGGTAGTAGAATCGGTTATTGTGAATGGTAAGACAATAGATGTTTAAATTGTGAATTTAATTAAAGTTGCAAGATTGATAATTGTGAACATAAAAGTATTAAATAATGTATGATAATGCATTAATTATTATGTGCATGGAGGAATGATAAATGTATAGATTGGATATTTGATTAAAAGAATTTTACTCAATCTTTAATTACTTAGAAGTGTTGTAAATCAATGAATTCAACAGTAAAATATGTAGAATCTATTCAATCATGTATTTAAATTGATATATTAACAGATGAATGCAATACTTTTGGATTATCAAAAATAGTAAATATATTATAAATTATTATAGGCATGTTTATCATTAGTCAATAAATAATGTACTTATAAAGACGATAAATGTATAGATTATATTTTTTAATATAAATCAAAATGCCATGAATACTATGATGTGAACTAATAAGTTTGTTAGTAATTACCTCATTTAAGTTGTAAATATGATGCATTACATAATAAATGCATAGATGTTGATTATTCTAAAGACTAATGCATTAGTTTAGGCTTATCAAAGATGGGATGCTCTAATATAATTTAAATGCCTTGTTATTGGAATATTCAAAATTAATAGTGCTCCAATTTTTAATTGTAAATGCACATTAATCAATGTGATAATTAAACTGTTACAAATAGTTATACTTGTCGATTGTTGAATTATCATTAAGATGTCTGTTCATATAATGTCAATAATAGAACATGCTAATAATAATTCAATCAATTGGCAAAGTGCTCTCAACCAGGATTGAACAGATTGGCATGTTTAAGATTAATTAATTAACCTTGTTAATATTTGAACAATTAATGTTAAAAGATTAAATCCTTAAATAGTAATTGCAATGAACTAAGAGATGTAAATGAATTAACATGTAAAATGAACACTAATGATCATTGTATTTATGATCCAGTTGTTGGAAATTGTCAACATTCTTTATAATAATTACCATGTAATTACAAAGGATTAAATATCAATAATTGTAATCGATAGAAAGGATGTAAATGGATACATGATATTTAGTAATGTGTTTGTAAAAGTTAATAAATAAATTCATATTGTGATATGAATGAGAATGAATGTAAAAACAATTGCATTTATGAGCAAGAACTATAAATTTGCAGACCAAAAAAATGTTTTGATTTAATTAATTGTTAAGGATTAATGAATGATGAATATTGTTATTAAGATTAAACTTAAAAATGTTAAGGAGCTAAAAAGTGTGAAGATATTGTTAATTTAAATGATAGTTAAAATTGCTCAGATTTTATGTTTGATAAATCAAATTGCATATAAATTTAAAACTATTGTGTAAGTGCAAATAATCTGTAATAGATCTGTCTTAATAGTGATTGTTCTAATACATCATGTAAATATGATAATTTTACTTGTCGTCCTTTAATATGTTCAGATTATTAAGAAGAAGAATAATGTTAATAAATATCTAATTGTGTTTATATAAATGGAATATGTAAGTATATATAAACATGTTCAGAAATTGATGATTAATCTATTTGTTTAAAAACAAAAGTAAATGAAAAATAATGTTCTTGGGAAATTTATGAAATATATTAAATTGCATATCATTGTACAAATCATTAGTGTAATCTGTATAGTAATTCACCTAATTTATGTAATGGTAATGAGATTAATTAATAATCTTGTTATATGAATGAATTTTAGATTTGTTAGAGTTGTGAAGATATTACAGATCCATGTTTATGTTCAGCTGGTTGTATTTATTCAAATGGAAAATGTAAATCAAAATTATGTTAAAATTTTATTTAAGAAAAGGATTGTTAAAACTCTAAAAATTGTTATTGGAGTATTCAAGATAAATTATGTAGAAAATTTTGCAAATTTTTAATTTTGGAAGAAGATTGTCTAATGTTAGATTATGAATGTCATTGGAATCCTTATTAATATAAATGTGAAGATGGAATTTAAATAGAAATCAATTTAAGTGTTACACTTAATTAGTTTGACAAGTACACTCAACCTATTTTCTAATTCATTCTAATTTTAGTATTTTTTTAATGATATATAATATTACTAATATTATATAAATCATTTTTTTTTGTTCTTAGTCAAATATTCAACAGCTTTCTTAACTCCTTCAGCTTAGAATTTAGCACCTTAATTAATTATGGCTTTAGGAATATCACCTTTTGGATTCATATTACCAATTATTATTATATTTGTTTATCCATTTGGTTACTTTTTTACAATCCAAGCTGAAAATACAATCTCTCCTCTTTAAACTCCTTTGACTACTGGTACTTAAGGATGTTCAATTGATTTTGCTAATTTATTAGATTTAATTTTATACTAATTGTCATATAATGATCATCACCTAATTTGTATACTCTACTTAATAAACAGAAATCTCTAGCATCAATAAAAAAAGTTGGAGGTTTTCCTCTTGCATAAAATATAAATGTATTTTAATCCAATTTTTCAATCAATCTTCCCTATTAAACATTAATATTTATTATTACTTCTAAAAAATTAGAATCATACTCTTTCTTTCTAGTCATATCAATTACAAAATTAACAAACTCTTCTGGATCTACTGCAGCATTTGTTTCTGTTCTATTTATCTTTAGACCATTTTCAGGATTATTTCTTGTATAAATTATATATCCATCTTTATTAGTATCCAAAGTCCATTGGTTTTCTGGTTTGAGTTCGACAATAGATAAAATTTTTGTTTTGGTTTCTTCTAAAAGTTGATCGTAATTGTTTTACATATTAATTAATTTTAATTTAAAAAGAATTCTGTAGTTCTTAATGAATTTATGTAATAATTATTATATATTGATAAAATTAATTATCTAAATTTAAAATTATGATTAATCATATTCACTTTCATTTCATTATAATGATAAATTTTGAATAACAGCTAACATTAAATCAGTTTATTATTAAGTAAATTGATTTCCTAATTATTATGGCATTTATCCTTTCATATCAAAGCATTAAATCAAAACAACTTTTGTGGATCCATTCTATTAAGGAGTAAGAATCCATCCAAACAAATACATTTCTGCCCTTTCCACATTATGAATAGGAGGTTATTTCTAGTGAATAATAGATCTTTCTAAATGTAATTAATATGGAATTATTACAGCATACTAATATCATTCCATTTTCCAATCTATATATCTTTTAATATAACACCAAATCTCTACTACTCATGAAAGGAATAGGTGGTTTCAATCTGATATATAATAACTTAGAATCCTTATCTATTTCTTCAAGCACACTTGCCTAACTAACATAAATATAAATACATATTCTATTCTTGAATCAGTTTATTTTCTTTTTTCTAAATCAGCAACATATTAAGCTATAAATTCTGGTTGTTTATTAATGAAAGCCTATGTTCTATTAATTTTGGCTCCATTTTCTGGATTTTTCATAACATGTACAGTGTAACCATTCTTATTGACTAATAATTCCCATAAATTCTTTTCATTTATGTCCATAATTTAAATCAATTTATCTTTACACACTAGAATGTAAGTCAAAATTACTTTCAATTAAACTCTCTGGATTTATAACAATCATAAGATGAAATTAAATAAATTAATATTAGTAATAATAATATTTTAATACTATGAAATAGTACTAGCACTATTAAATAATTATTCATTAGGATATGTTAGGTAATCTTGTTTGTTATTTTTATTTAGTATTTTTATTAATATAAAGTATTTAGAACAATCTGATTATCTTTATCAAATAATAGTCTACAATTTTTTATTTGGCTTTTTAGCATCAACTTAAGTTTAACCAGAACTTTTTTATGGATTTCTTGGAATTCTTCTATTATTAGGGAAGTTTTATTAAAAAATAATTTCTTCATCTTCCTTTATCTCAATTTATTACATTTATAGAATTTAATTCTTTATTTGATAAAATTCCTTATTCTATTGGCCATTAATTGTCTTGGTTTCTTTGTCAATGCTCCATCTACAAATAAAGATTTGAATCATATAAGCATCCATCTAATACTGGATAATCAAAATGTTGAAATTGTTAATTGAGCAAGATCCTAATTATTTAAGAAAAGGGTAAATGCAAAGGCTTAATTTAGATTTGAATTAATATCCAAAATGCACAAACCAATTTGAATTAATAATTCGATTAAATTCATCTTCTTATGTACCAGAATTTATCTACATCGAATTCATTGTTTAAAATAAAGACTATTTTCGTTCAATATTCTTCTTATTGCTTCCTATAATTCTATGTAATTGAAGTAATGAGCTGAACTTTAATTGGAATGAAAAAATCCATAATATTATTTGAAGAATTTCAAATCATTTTAAACTGATTTATATAAGCTTAGTCATTTCTCTAAAATCTATGGTAATATCTAAACTTTGTTAATTCAATCACTTGAACATCAATTATTATTTTAATAACTATTATTTATATAAATATAGAAATATATTCATTGCTCCAATAAAGTTTATTATTTCTTTTTTGGTTTTGTAATTGAATCTATAATTTTAACTTGTAGAGTTCCAAATGGCATTTCAACAAGCAATGTTAGAAATACTCCTGCAATCATTGTTATAACAATACAACCAACAAATAATTAAATAACATCTAATGTAAGGTAAGTGGGAGTGATATAAAATGTGTAATTCAATATTAATAATACCATATAATGAATTAAATAACAAGCAAAAGATATTTTTGCAGCAAACTTAAAAAAAGAATTATTCATAGCTTTTCTGTTAAATCTAAAGATATAAATTAATAATTACATATCATAAATTCCTATCATATTGGGTAAACATAAACATGCAACTCCAAAAACAAAAGTTAGTCTACAAAGTGCACAATATAGATGTTGAAACCAGTATGGCCAATAAGTAGGATCTGATGCTATATAGGCTTACTTCCATCCAAAAATTAACCAAGAAATTATTCCAAATCCTAATAGATAACATATAATTTAAAATAGCAATTTAAACTTTGGATCTTTTGCTTTTTCATGCAATAATCCCAAAAAACTGTTTTATTCTTTTTATTTAAATTCTCTATAAAGCATACCCATAAATAATCCAAAGAAATAAGGAGGAGATCTAGCTAAACTATTTACATAATATGTATAATAGAAATCTTTATTTCCTGTTACTTTTGCAGGGATTAAAAAATCATATATGAAGCATAAAACAATTCCATAAATTACAGAAGAGATTATCATACAAATAATCAAATATTTTGTTACTCTTTTATAACCGAGAGCATAAAGCGTCATTGGTATTAAACAAATAATAAATAATTAAATATCTGAAGTCAGATATAGAAAACTAATCATTTTTTATAATTTTTAATACCTAACTTTTTTTAATTTTCAATACCAACCCCACCCAAAACAAAGTTACCAATCATGAAAAAAATTATCAATAAAGAGAAGATTTCTCCAAGCTCCTTCACTACAAGTTGTATAATTCATTGCTGACCACCATCTTGGTCCTTCTCCTAAGTAAGGTAACAAGTATGAATTAAACATAATACATAAAATATAGCAAGGCCATATTCTTAATAATCTATGCAATATAACTAAGAATATTGATATTGGATTCTTTGCCAATGCCTTAGCTCTTTTTGTTTCACACATAACAAATGCCATAAAAAATCCACCAAGCCAAAAAAATACATCTACTGAATATAACATGTCCACTGTAATTATGGCTCTTTAAGATTATAAAGCTTATAATAATTCCATTTAATATGTAGATTAAATTATTAATAATGCTGAATGTCCATAAACAACCATCATAAATGCAATAGATCTAACTCCATTAAAAATAGCCAAATTTGGATCAATTGTTTTAAGATCAATCAATTTATTATAATTTTCAATTAAAGAAAAATCAGCAATAATTCCTTTTGGTTTTTTTGTTTAAGAATTAGTTAATGAATCTAGTAATCTTTTATAAGGATCCATTAATCCTAAACAAAAAAGAATAAAAATGATAATAATAGTTGAATAAGCACCAATTCTAAAATCTGGATAATGTGTTACTGGATCAACAAAGATATAACTAGCAGAACCAAAATTAATCTAGATAATAAATTTAAATTGATTACAGGTAATATTTTTGAGATTATACTGTTTCCTAATTTATCCTTTATAATTTCTTATGCATCTGGTTAATTAAAATCATTTGCCTCACAGATATTTGTATGGCAAAATCCATAAAAGAATGTCATAGGATCTGATTTAATCATAACTGATGAATAATGATACTCTTCTCTCAAACACATTTCATAATATCCAAATTTATTTGCCCAATCTCCTGACATTTATATTTATCTATTTGCCACTATAAATTATAAAGGCATAGGTAAACTAAGATATTCATTCAATTATTAGACACATAATTCATGATTACTTAATCCTAAATGNATATAGAAAACTAATCATTTTTTATAATTTTTAATACCTAACTTTTTTTAATTTTCAATACCAACCCCACCCAAAACAAAGTTACCAATCATGAAAAAAATTATCAATAAAGAGAAGATTTCTCCAAGCTCCTTCACTACAAGTTGTATAATTCATTGCTGACCACCATCTTGGTCCTTCTCCTAAGTAAGGTAACAAGTATGAATTAAACATAATACATAAAATATAGCAAGGCCATATTCTTAATAATCTATGCAATATAACTAAGAATATTGATATTGGATTCTTTGCCAATGCCTTAGCTCTTTTTGTTTCACACATAACAAATGCCATAAAAAATCCACCAAGCCAAAAAAATACATCTACTGAATATAACATGTCCACTGTAATTATGGCTCTTTAAGATTATAAAGCTTATAATAATTCCATTTAATATGTAGATTAAATTATTAATAATGCTGAATGTCCATAAACAACCATCATAAATGCAATAGATCTAACTCCATTAAAAATAGCCAAATTTGGATCAATTGTTTTAAGATCAATCAATTTATTATAATTTTCAATTAAAGAAAAATCAGCAATAATTCCTTTTGGTTTTTTTGTTTAAGAATTAGTTAATGAATCTAGTAATCTTTTATAAGGATCCATTAATCCTAAACAAAAAAGAATAAAAATGATAATAATAGTTGAATAAGCACCAATTCTAAAATCTGGATAATGTGTTACTGGATCAACAAAGATATAACTAGCAGAACCAAAATTAATCTAGATAATAAATTTAAATTGATTACAGGTAATATTTTTGAGATTATACTGTTTCCTAATTTATCCTTTATAATTTCTTATGCATCTGGTTAATTAAAATCATTTGCCTCACAGATATTTGTATGGCAAAATCCATAAAAGAATGTCATAGGATCTGATTTAATCATAACTGATGAATAATGATACTCTTCTCTCAAACACATTTCATAATATCCAAATTTATTTGCCCAATCTCCTGACATTTATATTTATCTATTTGCCACTATAAATTATAAAGGCATAGGTAAACTAAGATATTCATTCAATTATTAGACACATAATTCATGATTACTTAATCCTAAATGGAAAATAGAAGCAAATATTATTAATAACATTGTTATTATTCTTGAGATTGTATTTTCTTTTATTTTATGATTTTGTACAAATTCTATGTTGTGGAACTTATTATTTAATAATTTTCAATTCATATTCTGTATATAATTATTTATATTTATCAACTCAATTTAATTGATCTAACTTCTTCTATTCCATATCTAGTTCTACAAACAGGACAAGCTCTATTACGATTTCTTTAATTATCTTCTATACAAGGTTTACAAAACATATGAAGACATTTCATTAAAATTACTTATTTAACTCTCTTTTTACATTATTAACAATCTACCATCATTTTCATTGATGACCATAAATCACTTTATGTATCCTTAGATTCTCTTTAATTTATATAATATATTTACGATTTTAATTACAATTTTAGTTATTTCAATTTACTCTTTGATTTCTCTGCTTTTTTCATAAATTTCACATTAATAGAATCACTCAATTTCTCCCTTTCTTAAATAATCTTACATTCTTCAATCATTTTATTTATATCCCATTCTTTTTATAATAGTTTTTGTATATTATCAGTATCTTGCTTTTACAATAATCTTATTGTATCTTTGTTACTCTATCTTTCATTCTCAAAACTAGTAATCAATTTTCTATAAAGTTCATTTTATTATTGTAATGATTTAATAGTTTCATCTGCCATCTAACATTTTTAATTAAATTACTAGATAATATAATAATCTTTACAGCTTTTTCAATTTCATATTTAATTCTTTCATCTGCTTTTTCTTACATAGCTCTGCTTAAATTATTCTAAGTTTCATTTACTAATTTACTTAGATTCTTATTCGTTTCTGTGAGACAATTAAAAGAATTTGAATTGTAATCTAGTTCATCAATAAGTTATTAGATTTACTATGATAATCATCATTAGTACCTTTTTGATATTATTTTAATCAATAGTCTTTTTATCCAATAATTATTATAAACTTTTGACTTTCTCATCTCTCATTTTTACATATCCAACAAATTCTCTAAATTTTTAAATAAAATCATTTGATTTTGTATTCACATACTCTTATTCTATTTAAAATAAAATTTATTTATGGTTTTCATATCTTAGAGTCACTTATTCAATCTTTTCTTCTTTTAACATTATTTTATAAACACTCAAAGTTTACTTCAATTCATTATTTTAATTTAATAAGGATTATTTTTAATTGATTGCATCTAATAAATTATTATTAGTTTCTTTATTTCTATCTCTACATTATTGTAATTCTATTTTCAATTCCTCTATAACTTTAGAAAAGTTTTCCATTTATGATTATAATTGTTCGACTTATTTATTTTATATTTAATCATCTGTTTATTTAATTTCAATTTTGATAATCTCTTATTATATCATAAGATCTTTAACTTTCTATTCACATTCTGATTATAACTGCTATATTTATATTTAAAACTTCTCTTATTATTCATTATTCATTAATTAAGCCTTTTTAATTTAATACTACTATGTACTTAGACAAGTTAATCTTCAACATTAAATAATGTAGAAGTTAGATAATTATTTTATTGGACCAAATCAACAAATAGAGTTGTTTAAAAAAATTATTCTTCTACTAATTTTTATTGTAATTTTAACTCTTCTATTTAATGTAGTAATTAAGATTTCTCTTCTGAATGCTCATCAATTAACTATTTAATATAATCACTAAAATTGATATAAATATATATACTTTTATTATATTTGATTAAATTTTGTAAATTCTTCTTATACTTCCTAAACCTATTCTTATAATTATGGTATCTATAATAATTATTTCTAGTTTTCATTCACAAGATAATATTTAATTGTGTCAATTTAATTACTACCACATAAACATTCAAAGGTTTCTTCTTGTAAATCATCTTAGATAATCTTTTTTTGTATTGCTTCTTCATTATAAGCCATAATGATTCGAATTCTACGAGAAAGCTGATTACATAATTTTTTATAGTGTATTAGCTCCTCTTATTAAATTTACTCATTGTCTTTTTATTCTGTAAGCTATCAACTAGATATATTGGATTGTTTTATACAGATTTCATTTCTTAAATATGTTTTTTTAATTAATCAATCTTTGTAGCTAACATTGTATTTTAAGCTTTTAAGATGTTTTCACCTAATTCTGTTACTCTCTATAAATCAAAGGTTTTTTTTGGTTTCATATTTAAATATTTAATAAATTTTTATATCGAAGTGATTTCATTCATTTTTGTTATATAAGTAATTAAAAATAGTGTAAATATTGATAATTAAGTATTAGATACTAATATGTATCTATAATATTGAGGATTATTAAGTTATGATTTGAATAATATTAAAAAGTTTAATCAATTAATATAGATGATCTTCCTATTAAGATAATAGAGGAATATAATATACAAATTATGTAAAATATTGATAAAATGATAAATCCTTAAATTTTATTAATTTGAAAACATTTATACCACAAGAATATTTATTTTATTCTTAGAAGGGGGTCTATAGATGTTCTGAGGAAATTAGTCCATTCCAAAATCTCTCTATCTATTCATATTTATTAAATAAACATAATGGAATAGGATCTAAAAGGAGCTGTCATCTAATCTCTATAGACAACTGATGATACTGCTAGGACTAAGCGACCATATAATAAAATTTCTTCAGAATTACGTGCATAAATTTTACATGCTTTAACTGTTGAGAAAATCCCTCTTTCTGAAGTAGCAATTTGAATGAGACCTAGGTGGCATAGAAATATCAAACTAAACCTTGCACATGCAAAGCCATTTTGCTTACTTATGAATTGGAGGGGAGAAGTGAAAAGAAAACTTCTAGAAGAGAAAGAGTTGAAATAGAATCGAAAATTAGAATAGTTATATTGGATCCTTTTGGTAATAAGCATTCAAATTATGAAAATTCTGTATTTTCAAAAGTATGTACTTTAGATTTCATATATAAAAATAGCTATATACAGAAGACAAAGAACTAAGTACAAACGAAGAATTTAATATTCAGAAAAAGGTTATACAAGAAGTGAGTTAATAATTAGGTGAATTATAGACGAGTTGTTACCATTTACAATCTCAATAGAGTTAAACTCAAAATGATGAACATGCTCCTGATAATATTTTAAGAGGACTAAATATGGGTTTGCATTTGGTTACATCCAAACTTAGAGAAAGCTAAATTACATTTAACAAGAAAACAAATAAAGAAGTTAAGGAGACTAATAAATAAACAAATAAAGTGAATAATTATATTAATAAGAATGAAATACCATTTTAAACAAATTACACCTAAATTTAGTAATTTTTGAAGAATGTTGAAATCAAATCAGAAAGTAATCCTTACATTTTAGATTAATTGAACCAATTGACTAATCAAACTATATTATAGATGAAATTAATATAAAAAATTTAGTAAAGAGACTCATAAATAAGAAAATTTCAATAATAAGTGGGTATAATCATCAGAAAATGTTTCGAATGCCAATCTTGATTATATTTATGAATTATTTCTATTATTCATATTCATAATTTAAATTATAATTGTATTACTTTTCAATTTCAATCCATTATTTATAAAAGAATTACAAAACTATTCCATTTTCAAAGTTTACTATATATAATTATTTAGAATTAGAGTATTATAACCATCTCTTACTATTATTATATAAATAACTCCATCAACTAATATATATATGTTCCACTTTTTGGATTATATAATTATATTACTCATTTAACATTTGATATTATTCTAAAATTTTATTATATTAAATAAACCTAAATGAAAAAGTTTAATTTCTTAAAATACTAGTTCAGCACCTTATTCGAATATTAAAATCTAAGTTAAAGAAATAAATTAAATGAGTATAAATAAGGATTTCTGATAAGTAAAGATTTTGAGTCTTACTACAATTATATTAAAGTAACAAAACAAAATATATGATTAAGATTCTTAGTAGATTAAAGATGTACGATGAAATATTATAAGCCAAAAGCAGTGTACCTATATTTAAAAAAATCTAATTTTGGAGAGAACCAAAAAACAAAGTAATTAAAGATTGGATTCGATAAGCATAAGATGAATATTATAACTAAAATCCATAAGACTTACCATTACCTTGGTTTGTAAAATATCCAATCATTTTTTTCATTTCTTATGAAGTATTCTCTACAATTTTTGATATTGACATTGAAATTAGTTTGAATATTATTCCAGAAGAGAAGGAAGTAAAAAAAACAACAGGATTTAAAGATGTAATAGGAATAGATGATTATAAAGAGGAATTGTAGGAAGTAGTTGATTTTCTAAGAAACCCTAGTAAATATCATGAATCAGGAGCAAAATTGCCAAAAGGTATATTACTAGTAGGTAGACCAGGAACAGGAAAAACTTTGTTAGCAAGAGCTTTGGCAGAGGAAGCAGGTTGTACATTTTTGTACAAATCAGGAGCTGAATTTGATGAAATGTTTGTAGGAGTAGGTTCATCTAGAGTGCGTTAATTATTTTAAGAAGCAAGATAAAAATAACCATGTATAATTTTTATTGATGAAATTGATTCTATCGGTGGATCAAGAGGAGGTGATGATCCAAAGAGATATGGAACTATTAATCAAATTTTAACTGAGATGGATGGATTTAGATAAAATGAGGCAATTATTGTTATTGGAGCTACAAATATGGAATAATCATTAGATGCTGCACTTACAAGAGCAGGAAGATTTGATAAGACTATTCATATAATGTTACCTGATATTAAGGGTAGGAAACAACTGTTTGAATATTATTTAAAGTAAATAAAACATGCTGATATTGACACTCAATTATTAGCTAGATAGACTACAGGATTAACTGGAGCAGATATTGAAAATATTGTAAACATAGCCATAATGAATGCAGTAAAAGAGAAACGATAAAAAGCATTAGCAAATGATTTTTAACATGCTATTGATAGAACTAGGATGGGAATAAGATATAAATTGACAGATTAAGATAAGATTTTAACAGCATATCATGAAAGTGGACATGCATTAATTAATCTCTTAACAGNATATTAAATAAACCTAAATGAAAAAGTTTAATTTCTTAAAATACTAGTTCAGCACCTTATTCGAATATTAAAATCTAAGTTAAAGAAATAAATTAAATGAGTATAAATAAGGATTTCTGATAAGTAAAGATTTTGAGTCTTACTACAATTATATTAAAGTAACAAAACAAAATATATGATTAAGATTCTTAGTAGATTAAAGATGTACGATGAAATATTATAAGCCAAAAGCAGTGTACCTATATTTAAAAAAATCTAATTTTGGAGAGAACCAAAAAACAAAGTAATTAAAGATTGGATTCGATAAGCATAAGATGAATATTATAACTAAAATCCATAAGACTTACCATTACCTTGGTTTGTAAAATATCCAATCATTTTTTTCATTTCTTATGAAGTATTCTCTACAATTTTTGATATTGACATTGAAATTAGTTTGAATATTATTCCAGAAGAGAAGGAAGTAAAAAAAACAACAGGATTTAAAGATGTAATAGGAATAGATGATTATAAAGAGGAATTGTAGGAAGTAGTTGATTTTCTAAGAAACCCTAGTAAATATCATGAATCAGGAGCAAAATTGCCAAAAGGTATATTACTAGTAGGTAGACCAGGAACAGGAAAAACTTTGTTAGCAAGAGCTTTGGCAGAGGAAGCAGGTTGTACATTTTTGTACAAATCAGGAGCTGAATTTGATGAAATGTTTGTAGGAGTAGGTTCATCTAGAGTGCGTTAATTATTTTAAGAAGCAAGATAAAAATAACCATGTATAATTTTTATTGATGAAATTGATTCTATCGGTGGATCAAGAGGAGGTGATGATCCAAAGAGATATGGAACTATTAATCAAATTTTAACTGAGATGGATGGATTTAGATAAAATGAGGCAATTATTGTTATTGGAGCTACAAATATGGAATAATCATTAGATGCTGCACTTACAAGAGCAGGAAGATTTGATAAGACTATTCATATAATGTTACCTGATATTAAGGGTAGGAAACAACTGTTTGAATATTATTTAAAGTAAATAAAACATGCTGATATTGACACTCAATTATTAGCTAGATAGACTACAGGATTAACTGGAGCAGATATTGAAAATATTGTAAACATAGCCATAATGAATGCAGTAAAAGAGAAACGATAAAAAGCATTAGCAAATGATTTTTAACATGCTATTGATAGAACTAGGATGGGAATAAGATATAAATTGACAGATTAAGATAAGATTTTAACAGCATATCATGAAAGTGGACATGCATTAATTAATCTCTTAACAGAAAACACGGTACCATTAGATAAAGTAACCATTTTACCTAGAGGAAGTGCTTTGGGTTATACTTCAATGGTTCCAAAAGAGGATACTTTATCATAAACAAGAGGTAATATTCTAGCTGCTATTGATGTTTGTATGGGTGGTAGAGCAGCAGAAGATATTAAATTTGGTAAAGATAACATTTCATCTGGTTGTGGTTCAGATTTGGCTAATGCTACTGCCATGGCATATGCTTATGTGAAAGATTTAGGAATGGGGGATACATTGATTTCAGATGCATAAACAAGCAAAAAGTTTAGTTATCTTGTAGACTTGTAAGTGAAATAATTATTAGAAGTAATATATATAAATATAATTATTTATAGGAATCTTATAATAGAGTTAGAAATAAATTAGAGTAAAATTAATAGGTGCTGTCAAGATTTGCTGAAGAATTATTGAAACATGAAACAATGACTGCTGATTAATTGAAACGTTTATTATGATTATTTTTTATTAATACCATATTAATTTAGAGAGAAATAGAATCAATTTTGTTGAACTATCAACTAATGTATTATCCTAATATTTTGTCTAACTCATTTTATAAATTATCTTAGTTCTCCTTATTATTAAATGGTTTTATGTAGGTTTCCTTGAGGTTGACTTCATTATACTCTAAAAATTGAAATTTATTTCGATTCTCAGCTATATTTGTTTCTTATCCTGTTAAAATATAATCATTTTATTCTGGTTCTATTACTAATTAATATTATGGTTTTTCTTTCTTCTTCTTAACTGTAATTAAATTAGTTTCTGTTGAACTCTATCCTTGTTATCCTTAAAATTATGGTGAAACTGGTTAAATCTCTTACTCTTAATTTTCAGCATCTAACAAAAAAGAATTTTTGTTTTGATAATGATATTTCTAGACCTACCTTTAATTAAATTTATAGGATGTAGTCTTTTTTAGTAATGAATTTGATTTAGGTTCTTCTAAAAAGGGATGTTTCAATAGTTCATCTGCTGTAGCTCTTTATTTAGGGTCAATCTACAAACATTTAGATAGAAAATCTTTAGCTTCAGGAGATGATAATTATGATGGTATTGGAGGTGGTTATGTAGATTTACCTATCCTCACCATAACAGCAATAGCATCTTTATACTCAGAATATGGAGGTTATCCAGTAGCCATTTCTATTATTGTACAACCAAGACTCCAAATATCTGCCTTTTTTCCATATTATTCTTGATTAATTACTTCTGGAGCCATGAAATTGGGAGTTCCACAAATAGATCCTACAGTATCATGAGTTATATCACTCAATTACTTACTGCTGCCAAAATCTACAATTAAGATTTAAATTACCTGCTAGTTTACATCGACCAGAATTGTCAATTAAAATATTTCCTCCTTTAATATCTCTATGAATAACATTCTTTGCATGTAAATAACTTAATCCTAACAGTATTTATTTCAAATATGTTTTGATAAGTCTCTCTCTAAAACATCCAAATCTTTCTAACAATGTTTATACTGAACCTCCACTAACATATTCTAGAAATATATTTATGAATTAGTTTTTTTATTCACATCCTATATAACGCACTATATTTGGATGTTATAATCTACTCAACATTTCAATTTCTTTTTATAATTGTTTCACTTTCTATAATATTTACATCTAATACATCATCATTTTGATTCTAAATAAAAACTTATTTCACAGCCATTATTTGTCCGTTCTTCTAGAGTCCCATTACAACTTTCCCAAAAGCACCTTATCCAAGTACCTCCCCTTATTCCCATTGATGAATACTTTATATAATATAAAATAAATAATACTCTTAATCTGATTTAAGTGAGTTTCTCTCTAACTCTTCTTCTTTGTTATCAATTATTATAACTTCCACATCTTAAATAAATGATTATTCAAGTTCCTATTATTTGATATTTTGATTATTGGTATTCATGTATTCATAAGCTTTTGTAGNGTTTCTTATCCTGTTAAAATATAATCATTTTATTCTGGTTCTATTACTAATTAATATTATGGTTTTTCTTTCTTCTTCTTAACTGTAATTAAATTAGTTTCTGTTGAACTCTATCCTTGTTATCCTTAAAATTATGGTGAAACTGGTTAAATCTCTTACTCTTAATTTTCAGCATCTAACAAAAAAGAATTTTTGTTTTGATAATGATATTTCTAGACCTACCTTTAATTAAATTTATAGGATGTAGTCTTTTTTAGTAATGAATTTGATTTAGGTTCTTCTAAAAAGGGATGTTTCAATAGTTCATCTGCTGTAGCTCTTTATTTAGGGTCAATCTACAAACATTTAGATAGAAAATCTTTAGCTTCAGGAGATGATAATTATGATGGTATTGGAGGTGGTTATGTAGATTTACCTATCCTCACCATAACAGCAATAGCATCTTTATACTCAGAATATGGAGGTTATCCAGTAGCCATTTCTATTATTGTACAACCAAGACTCCAAATATCTGCCTTTTTTCCATATTATTCTTGATTAATTACTTCTGGAGCCATGAAATTGGGAGTTCCACAAATAGATCCTACAGTATCATGAGTTATATCACTCAATTACTTACTGCTGCCAAAATCTACAATTAAGATTTAAATTACCTGCTAGTTTACATCGACCAGAATTGTCAATTAAAATATTTCCTCCTTTAATATCTCTATGAATAACATTCTTTGCATGTAAATAACTTAATCCTAACAGTATTTATTTCAAATATGTTTTGATAAGTCTCTCTCTAAAACATCCAAATCTTTCTAACAATGTTTATACTGAACCTCCACTAACATATTCTAGAAATATATTTATGAATTAGTTTTTTTATTCACATCCTATATAACGCACTATATTTGGATGTTATAATCTACTCAACATTTCAATTTCTTTTTATAATTGTTTCACTTTCTATAATATTTACATCTAATACATCATCATTTTGATTCTAAATAAAAACTTATTTCACAGCCATTATTTGTCCGTTCTTCTAGAGTCCCATTACAACTTTCCCAAAAGCACCTTATCCAAGTACCTCCCCTTATTCCCATTGATGAATACTTTATATAATATAAAATAAATAATACTCTTAATCTGATTTAAGTGAGTTTCTCTCTAACTCTTCTTCTTTGTTATCAATTATTATAACTTCCACATCTTAAATAAATGATTATTCAAGTTCCTATTATTTGATATTTTGATTATTGGTATTCATGTATTCATAAGCTTTTGTAGGTTTGAGTTGGTTCTTTTTTTTTGTAAAGCAGCAACCCATATTTTTTATATTTTTAATTTTATGTTAAATTACATATATAAATATTTGAAGGTTGAAATATATTAATTAAAGAATTGAATAATTTTAAACATAAGATAATTTATATATAAATTAAGAATGATATAACCTATTAAAAGTGAAGTCATTAATTTAATAAATGAAGTCACCAAGAAATATCATTTAAATCTTAATTCATTATAATATCATATTAATTATAATGTAATACAGTATATTAATAGTATTTATGTCCTTTGTTGCAAGTTTCAATTATTTACCAGAAGTTGAAATAGACTTGAGTATTGAACCAAAATAACGATGGAAATAAGCAATTCGTATCATTATTGAATAATATGGATATGAAAATTCTTTTGGTTAAGTTTTTGAATTTCATAATAAAAATACATTCTATATACTTGATCCATAAGACTATAGTACAATAGCTAAAGCAATAAGAATACATTATCCTGAATATTCATTAGAATTAGATGGAATTGTAGAAGAATTAAATAGAAGTGAAATAACCTTTGAATATTTATCTGCTTGGGCATATTTTCATGAAATTGCCCATATATCAACTGACATCACTGAATCTACTGGACTTCTTTTATAAGTTGGAGATTAAATTATACATGGAAGAAATATGGATTAAGCCCCAATTTAAGCTAGAAATATTATTTTACATTTGATCATTAAGAAAGATGGATAATATTTAGGTGAATCAGTTGAATGGTATTGGTTTAATGTAGGATTCATTACTTTATTAAAATACAATGTTGCATACTTGAAGAAAATTGGAGATTTTGTATACCTTTAAACAAAAACCAGTTAATGATCTTTATTGAATAGGGAGTATCTTCATTAGCATGGACTTATAGATACATTTTAATAAATGAAAATATGAACACATTCGATAAAGTTGTCTCATATCTCGAACAAAATTAAGTAGCTAGTTCATTTTATAATGTGATTGGTGGAAAAGAGAAAAATTAGGGAGTGATCATCTCAAGAGATCCATTCATTATGTATCCAACCATTAGTTTGAATACTTCAATACTAAACTAAATCAATTATTAATACTTGGTTTAAACAAATTATGATCATTGGTTACCTGACCCTTAGAATGATCAAAGAAGAACAATGGCTGAGAACTTATTAGCTTAATTGCAAATACATCAATGGAATGAATTTGGAGTGTTTGCTGTAATGGAAACTTACCCAATTCATAATGAAGGTACTTTCTACACTATTATAATGAATGCTAAATATAATAGATTGATAGCATTTGGATAACCCAATATGACATAAATTGAAAATTGATATTTAAATAATATTAGTAAATAATTATCAAAAAGGTTATACAAAAACATTACTGCGATGGTTATATTATTATCAAAAAATATTTTATTATAATAATATTAAACTCTTATGACTGATATTCAATAAACAACTGAAATAAGATTAACAACCTAATCTCCAAATAGAAGTTACAATCCTATGAATACATCAATATAATTCATTCCAGATCTAACCCAAGAAAATCTGACAGAATAAGTTCCTTATTCTTAACAAGAAACCATAAAAAAGGGCATTCTTAAAACATTTTACTATGAGGTACACAATGTTTTAACTAATTTAGGATTTAAAAAGGAAAAAGATTATTGGATGTAATATTTACGTGAATAAAATGAATGAATAATAATTGTAATTATCTAAACGAGGAAGTATTGAAATCAAATTTTAGTAGGATAATGCAGGATTTGTATGGCTGAAGAAGAAACTTCTAGATTCATATCTCCTTGTACTTGCAAAGGAACTTTAATGTTTGTGCATGAAGAATGTCTAAAATTGTGGATTTTATAAAAAAATTGTATTGAAGAAGTATTCAAAGAAAAGGTAATTTCTTTAGTTAAATTTCAATAGGTTAAATGCGAATTATGTTCTTATAGATTTAGAATGAGAATGTAAATTGTTAATAGAATAGATTTAAAAAGATTCTCTTAAGTACCATCTCATTAGAAGATATGCTGGTTAATTTATTTACTTTTAATTATTGCCCTGATAAGTGGATTTGTTGGTACATACCTATTTAATATAGCTTTATATATGGAATACTAATTATCCAATATTGGAGCGGATGCAGCGATGACCCTTATGATAATTTTGTCCTTGATTTTATTTGTCTATTTTTTGGCTAGCATTTTAACTTCTCTTTAATTAGAAATGATTGAAAATTGGACACTGTGTTCATATAGACCTAGAAGAGACACTAAATAAGGTAGCATTTTTTAGTTATAATCGAATATGGGAAATAGTGTTTCTGGAAGTAATTCAGCTGAAAGGAGGAGAATTAATCAATTATAAACCTGCCCACCTCAAATAGCAAGTTTCTAAGTTATTTAAATCAACCCATTAATTTCAAGTGTTAATCTTTCAGGTCAATGAACAATTTTCAAATTATTTACTTTTTTTTATTATAATTTTTCTCCATATGGCAAATAATGAGAGTAATGATACATCAACATAAAACAGTAAATTTGTTCATTTGAATTCCTCCGTACAAATCCTAAATGAAAGTATAAGTATACAAATGCCATAATTCAGACAAAAAGTGCTTAAAACTGTTCATTCAAAAGTAAAATTTTCATTAATTAAGGATGTTGCGAGAAGAAAATAAATTGCTTGCCATATTTATATTAATGATCTAGATTCTGTACCTGGATATAAAGCATTAAAAAGTATATTTGAATCCTTAAACAGAACAAATATGTAGAATCTGTATTTGTGAAGAAGAATCCTCTAAATTTATTACTCCATGTAAATGCAAAGGAACTTCAGAGTTTGTTCATTAAGAATGTCTAAAAATGTGGATTCTAGAGTAATATGGAGTTAATAAAATCTATAATGATGAGGTAATTGATTACAATCTAATCTTGTTAAGTTATATTGCGAAGTTTGCTAACATAAATTTGAATTCGATGTAGATTTTAATAACAGGTTCGATATCACATAATTTTAAAGAATAAAAAAGAAAACAAAACTTTGTTGGCTTATTCAAATATTTTTCATCATTCTATTTATTTTTGGATCTATTGAAATTGCTTTGTAATTTGGTATAAACTCTTTGGCAACAGTTGCGATTATTGTTGTATTTGGTCTCATATCAATATCATTAATTATTTACTTGATTTTCAATTTTAGTACTGCTCATACTATTTAAATGATTGAAAATTGGAATTTCCAGAATTATAAACCCAAACCTTCTCCATCAATGACCAAAAAGAACACCAAGAAGATAACCAATCATTTCATTCGAGTCAATTAAATATATTTTACTTGAATAATATAATTTATAAAAATTTAATTGAGAATCATTCAAATGTTAGGATTACCTCAAAAAAAGTGTCAGCTATTGTTTAAAGAGTAAATACCTGTTAAAAAAAAGAGTTCATAACACGTAAAATTGAAGACTTTAACTTTAAGTAATTGGAAATCAAAAGAATTGACATCACAATTATTAAGTCCAATAAAATATTAACCACCTCCAATTATGGAACCTAGAAGTTAATCAAGAGCTAATTTCTTTCAATCTTAGCATATAATCATAAAAATATTAGATGGAAAACCAAACACAATAAAAAAGCAATATTTTAATTTTTGATAATATCTGTCTATGAATATTTTTTTGTTAAATTTGAATTTTATCTATTAGAAATAAGAAATATAAATCATTTTGGGATTTAATAATCATTTTTTTTGAAAGAGTAAAATATAATTGCTTTAAAAATTAAATAAATATGAATTTTACTTATCCAAATACTATTTATATTCTTAATTCTCTAAAAAAAAGCTTTTAATTTTAATGATAACAATATAAAGTTTAATTTAATTGCTTAGTTTTTTAGAACAATTGAATACTGTTTTCTTAATATATTGTATATTTTATAAATTCATTTTTGATCCTTAAAAGTTGATCATTTAGGGTAAATTTTGAAAAAAAATAATAATATATCAAAAACGAGTTTTAATTATATTAATTATGTTAAAAACAATTCTCTTCTGCATCTTATTATTATCTGTATTTGCAGGACACGTTAGAAAAACTCATAAAGAATTACACAATAAAAACCCAAGAAAGTTTAATAGTGCCTTTTTGGAATTTGAAAATTTAGGTTAAAAGGATTATCATCTAAGTAATAAAGAAGCTTGTAAATTATTGAAATATTATTAGAACATTGGGCTCAAATTACTGCTGATCTGAATAGCAACACTAAAAAACGCTAATCCTTAATAGAAGCTCATTCTGAATATATTCCAGGAGTAGTTGGGAATGTAGCTGATCTTTCTAATAATGTAGGTGTATATTCATACACAGTCACAGATATTAACGGAAACATTCTTGAATCAGAAACAGGAGATCATTTAGCTCAAAAATTAAACGCTGCTTATCTTGAAATGACTTCAAAAATTTAAGATTCTTCATCTCTAAAACTTCAAGATAATAACCAGATATGAGATTTTAAAAGATGTAATATTAAATTCAAATATTCCTATTATCTGTATTTATTTTTGTACTAATTTTATTTCTTTCTATTCCATTTTTGTTTGGATCCCAAATTATAATACTAGGATTAATAATATTTCAAATAGTTTCTATTAATAAATAATAACATAATATTTTGAATATCTAAGTGAAGGTATTTATCATTACTCACTTATATATAAATAAGTTATCATTGATATAATACAGAAAATGATGCAAATTATTATTTAATAAATAATCATAATATAATTTATAATTATTGTATTGAATGATAATTCTTCAATGTTTCTTTTTTCTCCATGAATTGACCTTGTCTGTGAGCCAATCTTAAGTTAAAAGAGTAATCATAGTGTGAGGTGCAATTCTGAAATAAAATGTTGGAAATCCTACCCAAAGTCCGACAATACCTTCTCTTTTAGCTGTCTATGAATATTCATTTTTCTTACTTTTCCCATAGCATCAAAAATTGAAGAATAAGGATATACACCTGCTGCATCCTTTTTCATTTTCTACATTTTTGTTTTTGCATTATCAAAAGGTAATGCACAAAATGAACTCAAAAAGCCAGCTGCGGCAGATGCTCTATTATAAATATAATTTAACAAATTACAATAATCGAGTTTATTGAGTATCTTTGGTTCCAAAATAGTGATTTAATCGTTCCTTTATCTCATCATATGGTCCCAACATTGCTACATTAATAACAACTGCTCTAATAACTGTTGGGGTGGATCCTCTCCATAATGCTACTATCCCTTCATCTTTCACAATTTTATAAAATGCATCAAAAACATTTTTATATCCTCTTCTTTCTTCAACAGGTAATGTGCTATCTGCCTAAATTCTGACCAAAGCTAAATCAGCTGGATTACCTGCCAATGATCCAATAAAACCTGCTACAATTGAACACCAAGATTTAGCTAAAAATGAAGGCTCTTTTCCATTATTCGCTTGTTTTGATCTTTAGTACATTGTCTTATAAATTCCCATACGAGTGGTAGTGTAAAATACTTATCTAGCTAATGCTGAATCAATTCCTTTCCAAAAACTCAACACACCTCCTTCTTTTAAGATTTCAGAGAAGACACGAAATGGACTGATCTCGCTTCCTGCATTAGGACCCAATTTTTCTGATTTGAGTTGGATTCTAACTTTTACTAAGTCGACTGGTTAAATAAAACACGTAGCCACACATCCAGATAAACCACCTATCCCAAATGGTTATAAAGTATCAGTAATTTTAGTCAGCCAATGCTTCTCAAGAACGTTTTCGCCCATATTTGATGCGTATTATTGTATTTAATATGAAAATTAACAAATGATATATATTTTGTAATAAATCCAAATATTTATTATATAAATAATTCATTTTCCTAAACATTAGCTCCTTCTGTAATAAATTCTAGAGATTTATTTTTTTTTAAATTGATTAATCAATTTTAACAATCTTGAATCTATTTGAAATTTAGCTTAACAATTTTAATATGCAATGCATCTAATTATGTGAAATCAAATGAGTTGTTACCATTATCATAAAACATATCTGAATTCCACTTGTATTTCTAAATTTATTCTATTGGTTTAATTATCAAAAATCGCTATTTCCTTACAAATACTGGATATAAACTGTTGTTATGAATTAACTACTATCATCAACTTCTTTAATTATTACTGCATACTTAAAAATTCGATTAGTATGTTAAAATTTGAATGGGTTTCTGGTGATATTGATAATTCAATATTTTTCTAAGTTCTTTGAATTGATTTTATGTAATTCATATCAAAAGTTTAACATTTCTAATATTAGTTCAATAATAAAGTATATAATATTGATGAAATCTGTATTTTTTTTAGTGGATATTGTAATAAACAAAATCTTGAAATAATTTTAAGTTCTGCTGAATCAAATGGCTTAATTTCATAAAGGTTTTACTTGGACTCTATGTAAAAGTACATTAAAGACGAAAAATACCTTCATCAATTTAAGACAAAAAGTAACACCTAATCAAGGATCAGTTTTGTTGAAGATTGATAATGAGAGAGAATTGCAATATAATAATGATTTAGGATGGAATTGCCATAAAAGCTAGAATATTCCAAATATATCTGTAAAAATTACTTTGTAAAAGAAGAATGCACATAATGGATCTATTGTTAGTTATCTTATCTAAGTATAACCTTAGGTGTAATTAATGGCAGTAAAGGCATTGTAAAATGATCTTTTTGAAGAGTTAGCATTAGAAGGAATTACTTAATACGATATTGTATTGATTTTGTAATCAAAAATGTTTATTATATTTTTTGATCAAAATATAAATCAACTTCTTTATTTAATTGATTTATCTAATAATTCTTAATTATTTTTCATTTATAATTAAAAGTTTAGCTTATTATTTTTTTAAGTAGTTCGAAATTAAAATTAATACTTTGAAGCTAATTTATTTAAACTATAGATGATAAAGCATTCTTTTCGGTATTTTTCTATAAAAAAATTAAGGGAGTTAATTTTAATAGCACTACTTATAATCACCAAGGCTATAGATTTTAGTTATTGATATTACTAAAAGAAAAAGAGAACATAATTCTTGTGTTACAATCACAACCTGTTTTTTAGACTGTAGAAAAAGTACTCGTGATGAACACAGATAAATTTAATATATCTAACCTTTCTAACTTCAATATTTAGAGCGTAATTTCTGCAATTAACTAGAATAATAATAAAATTTAGATTTCTAATAATAAGCATAAATTGAAATAACCTATCATCCATGCGAACCGCCTTAAATTTTAACTCATTCAGAAAGAAAATCGGCTTTTACTAAGTATCTTGATAAATTACCAACTAAAAACTTCGAAGAAGAGAAATTAGAATAACAATAAAAGAATGGAAAAGTTTAATAATATTCGAGAAATGGAAAATTATTATCAAGTTTAATATTGGTTAAAATTGAGCATAATCTTAACTAAAATAGTATAATTTAACAATAAATAGACTTAAATTAAATAAATTCGATTACTCATTAGTTTTCAATAGTGTTACAATAATGAATACAAGAATAAATTCTATCATATTATTTAATCTAGCAGTAGCTAATGCTGCTCTAAAACTCCCCTTCCGTATGATATATTTCTATATTCAATCAATAAGAAATGAAAGCTCATTCGATCGATTTCTATCATTAGATTTCTTAATTGTGTTCTGAAATAAGAAATATAATTTATTAATAATTTAATGAATTTCAATCTTTATTAAGCTCCAGAGATTTCACCAGTCTTCTCTATTCCAATAACTCTTATCGATGGCACCTCTTCTATGAATAGATAATATAAATATATCATTTAAGCCTATGAAGAAACATTTGGAGACTTGTTGGAAACTTAGAGAAAAGAATATTAATGGTCCAAAAATTTGAAAAGCATCAAACCATATTTAGATGAAGAACGAGGAAATCTTACTATGGTCCTTACTTAATTGTTTCACTTTATGTTATCAAATTAATTTCCTACATAATATGTGACTATTACATTGGTTACAGATGGAAGAGAGCCATTTGATATTAATTCTATTATGGAATTATGTCAATAGATAAAATCTAAATATACTATCTAAATTTTGTGTATAGCATTTGGCAACAAATTTCCACTAACAATGATTAAGAGCTTAAAAGAATCTATTGAGAATTAGGATTTCAAAAACTAATCATTATTTTAAGTTATGCGTTCTGATTATCAATGTTATATATAAATTTAGAAGGAATTAAAATATGCATTTTAATAAATCAGATAACAACTAATGATGATTCCGTAAAATCATATCTTAAACTTTGAAGTGTTTACTTCAATTCCTTTTAGATAACCTTAAAAATATGTGGAATCAAAGGAGCTGTTTTTAGCATCTTCAGATCAAATAATCATAATAGAGGATCAATAATTGGTAAGTATCAATTCTCCAATTTGTATATTATAATTTTTAAGGAAATCAATATCAAATATTTATTGCCGTTCAGATTTACTTTAAAGTGATTAGATTATTTAAGAGTTTTAGTAAACGTTTCAATTTTTTAACTCATTAATTAACAACGTAGAATCAAAAGAAGAATATGCATAATAACTAGAAATTATTGATTTAATTTTAAAAATTATTGAATAAACAGACTTCGCTTATAATAATGATAATAAAATAATATCATTGTAGTAGATTGAATAATTCAAGTATTTTATTCATTGTGATGATCCCAAAAATTTAAAAGAGATACTTGATATTTCAAAGATTAGCAAATTTGAAGGTCACTTTAATAAGATCGTCTAGTACCTAACAACAGAATTTTAAATTTTATTAAACTTAGATAGTTATAAAAATCAAAACAAAATAGATTTTTTGAAAAATTATATAACAATATTAACATAGAGTATCAAAAATATTGATTTAGTTTTGGAAACAATAGAACCTAAAAATTTAGAAAAAACACTTATGGAATTTCAAAACTTAATTGGATCATTAATTTAACTTTCAAGAGAAGCGTTTTCTTCAATATATTTTGATATCTCTACAAATGAACAATATCAATAATTAATTTATATTAATGAATTGTTAAAAAATCTATAATAATTAAAAACTGAAACTAACCTCATATCGATAAAAGTATTAATTAATTAAATTGCAACATTGAATTTAAACTATTAAAACCCAATTGATCCTTACTTTTAATTTAGGTACCTGCAAGAACTTTAATATAACAATTCTGAATCCATTTCTGAAAAATTTCTCATTTTTTTAATCGATAAAAATGAAGAATTAAAACCATATACAGATTCAATTCTTCAAAATTATAGAGAGATATTTTCTAAGATCTCCCAAAAAAAGAGATTGGAAATATATTGGTATAATATTCCAACAACAAACTTCAAAATAAAAAGCAATTAGGAATTTGAATAAATAGAATTTTAGTGTTTTAAATTATTATTAGATTCTTTAAAAGACAAATTATAATTAAAAAAAAAATAGATTCAATTATTAATTTTAACTGATAACGAACAATCGTATGAAAAACTGCACCTTTAAATTAGATTTGCATAATTGTCTCGTTACAATTTTAGAATTATTTATATTTCAATTGGAATGAAAATACTAGCCTATTTAGAATATAAAATAAGTTCGAATATTAATCAGTAATCCTAAAATATCTAGCCATATTTAAAAAATATACCAAAATAGCTAATCAATAATTTTACTAATTAAGAATAAATTTAATAGAGAAGAATAAATCATTAAAAGATTCTACAAGAAATTGCAAACTATATAGACATTTAGAATTTTTGATTAATTGATTTGAAAAATTATATTGATTATGATATTTGAAAAATTTAGCAATGATTATTATTATTTTGTAATCATATTTATACTGATTATATTCTAAAACTTAAAAAGGAGACAGTTAACTTCTGAAATTAAAATTGTTTTTAGTTATTTTCTATATGGTTCCAAAATAGATATTTTGTTTATGTAACAATAAATAGGTTAATGTTTGTTTACTAAAAAAACAAATTTTATCTATATATTTTGTTTAAAATATATAATGAATAAATTTTAAGGATTGTTAAAATGGTTAAAATTAACAAGTAATAATTTAGATTATTTTTATGTATTTTTAATATATTTAGTGTGTTAAGTATTTAATTATTAAATATTTTATTATATATATCAATTGAATATATATA